CCACGCTGCGCGGTACGCGTTCGTGTACGTCTTCATGCGCGAGCCGCGGCAGCGCCCGCGTAGCGCTAACAGCTTTTCGCGCGCACTCATACCGCGACAGTTGTTGGCCAGCGCGCAGACGTCCTCGAACTCCTCGTAGAACAGGACAACGTCTCGCGCGTCCGACTTGTCGTCGGTCAGCGTCGGCCACGTGAGGTCAGTTTTGACCGTAGTTATGGAGCTTTGCCCGCCCCTCTGCGCTAACGCTTCTTTCAGCGCCTCAGTTTGGGCGGCGAGTGCGGCGGCGAGATCGCCCGCCGGGTGTTGGGACCCGGTCTGCGAACCTCCGCCGTCTGAACCTCGCTTCAGGGCTTCTATCTCCATCTCTAGCGCAGCAAGCTTCGCGCGCAAAGGGGAATCGCCGTCCGTCGCGCCCAGGACACGGGCCGCGGAAGGACCACCTGCAACCTCAGCAGTGTGCAAACCTCCACGGTCCAATCCTACCCCCAACCCACTTGCAGTCGCAGGCTGTGGGAGCCCTGGGGAACGCGGCCCCACGGCTTCAACTGGCACATCGGACGGGGAGCTCCAAACCTTCTCTTGGCTCGAGCTTTCTTTTCCCCCTAACGCGAGGATAAGCTCCCCGATGCATTGGATTTCGCGCTGAATCTCCTCTGCATCTTCGGGGTCCTCGCCACCGCGCAAAGCCGCGACCGAGAACCTGGTCCGCAGCCGACGGACCATCTTCGTAGGATGCCAGTCCCCGCCTATCTTGGAGAACTCATCCGCAAGGAGGGTGGCTTTGGTGCTTAAGGCGTCAAGGTCACGGGAGCTCACCGTGACTCCATGCGCCTTCAGCGCGAGGACAATCCGCGAAACGCGCGTCAAGTAGTCCGCGACCGGTTCTTGGTCTGGACGGAAAATCGCGCGCAGCTCCGCCTGCAAGCCCTCTGCGGTGCCTGGCACTGAACCTGCTGTCGACGGCGGACCGGACGGTCCCGCCGGGCGGGACCCTGGTGCCGTAGCAGGGACATAGGCAGCACCGGTAGGGACCATGGCCAGCTCCCTAGCCGCGGCGCTGACGTCCACCCGCGGCGGACTGTCGCCTCCAGGGCCCGAGGTCTCAGGGACTAGCTCGGAGTCGATCCTCTTCTTCTTCCTCTTCATCCTCGTCCTCCTCTTCGGCGTCATGGAGGAACTTCATGACTTTCCGCCAGAGAGCCGCCTCTTGCTCTGGCGTAGTGCTAACCCCATCCCGCTTGGACAACGGACGGCTGCCAGTCTCCCTACGCCACTTAAGCCAAGCGACGTAGCCCATCCGCTCGGGATAGGGAACGTCTCCACCCTCGATAGCTTCGAGGAGGGTGACGCCCTCAGCCTGACCTGCAACCTCTGCGGACATTGTCGCAACACAAGGCGAGAAGCCGCGCCTTGGTTAGCAGGCCGCAGGCGTGGCACGCGAAGCGCCGCGCCTTGGTTAACAGGCCGCAAGCGTGGCACACAGTCCACGCGTCCAGGTCACGGACCGCGACAGACAAGCAAAGCAATGCTTGCCCACTCGGGCCGTAGGCACAAGAGCTGTAAGCTTCCCAGAACAGCCCCCAATTGTGAAGTCGACCAGCACTGGACTTGCACTAAGCCAATGCAATCACAGCCCGGTCACGCTGTTTTACGACTTCGTGAGTCCAAGCACTTGTGCAGCTACGCCTGAGTGCGTCCGGTCGGACCGCACAGCAACCTAGGAGCTACTGTACGACTCTACCGTGCTCAAAGGCACAAGCTCGGTACTTGAGCCAAAATATTGGCATTGTTACGAATTGCAAAACTACACATGCAAGGGAAAACTACAAGCTGCACTAGCACTAAGCAAGCACTCCATGCATGCTTTGACCTGCTCACAGTATATGTATATGTATATGTATATGTATATGTATATGTATATGTATATGTATATGTATATGTATATGTATATGTATATGTATATGTATATGTATATGTATATGTATATGTATATGTATATGTATATGTATACATACATACATACATACATACATACATACATACATACATACATACATACATACATAGATGTAGATGTGTATATGTGTATATATATATATATATGTCCCTTGTGTATGCCTGCATGCATGCATGCATAGCTTGCGTGCTTCCACTTCTCGGTGCCTGAGTTGAGTGCCTGTCGCTGATGCTGCCGCTATAGTGGTCCCCAAACAAACAAGTCAACGCCGTCAACGCTAAGAACCTCAAACGGACATGAAAGACACGCCCAGCTACTCTGGGCACACCTCACACACTGAGGTCGACAAACCAGAACTCCATTTTGGCCTTGAGCCACAACACGCAACGCATGGCTACATCAGGCGTTGAGTTCTGACTGAGGTGGAGCGCAAGAACGAACACCGTTCACCTAGCCTGCCCGAAGCACAAAACAGTAGCAGCAACCCGACTGCAGCTAAACAGAACCACAGAAAAGATTTCTGATACTCAAGCACTTCTCCAGGAACTTGTTTAGGCGCTTTGCGTATGTTGTAGGCTTGCCACGCAGCTCGACAAGCATTCTGTCCACATTGCCCCATAGCCATTCCCAGGCAACCTCGTGCTCATCTGCCCATCCAGGCACACAGGCCTTGAGTGAAGACATTGCAACTGACTTGAACTCTGCGAAATCCACTTGGGACCCATATTTGTCCAGACTCAGCGCCACTGTGCTGCACTCTTCTTGAACACGCGCGGTGTTGGCAATGTTCATGACCTGCACTTTTGAGTGGCAGGAAAGTTCATTTGGGATATAGGGGTTTCCGAAATCCGGCGAGGCCTCGGGCCGAAGGTGTATAGGTTGTGAGAACAGGCACCCCCCTCCAAATCCTCCCCCCCAAGCCCAAAGCCACACGTCTTTTTGCCTGGAATGGGTACCCCCCCCCGTAGGCGACCACGATCTGAAAGCGGACGGTTCGCCAGGACCAGGGGGCAGTTGAAGCCCCGCCCAGCAGGCCCCCCCCCCCCTTTTTCCTGCTCCCCCCCATCCCCGCCTGCCTTTTCACCGTCTTTAACTGGTGTGAGCATTAGAACCTTGAACCTTGAACTCTAAACAACCCAAACACCCAAAATCCCAAACCGCCAAAGCCCTCAACCCTAAACTAACCCTCAACCCTAAACCCTAAACCATAAACCCGGAACCCTAAACCCGGGGTCCCTTCTTGGGGTCCTTATTGTAAGGGGGATCCTTCTATTTGGGGATTTATATTGGAGGCCCCCTTCGTAAACCCCATCTTCCTTTCTCGATTTGGTGCAGGGTTCTCTGTATTTGAATAGGAAACCTCTATCTTTTTTATGTTCTGCCAGGAAACCTGTATTTCTCCACATAAAACACGGAAAACCTCTATGTTCTTCAAATTTTCGCAGGAGAACCTCTATTTTCTCGTTATGTTGACAGGAAAACCTCTATTTTTTATTGGACAACCTCTGTTTTCTCGCTATGTAGATTTGGTTAGGAAAACCTCGATTTCCTCTACATGCATGAACAGACAGAAGGCCAAAAAACGGAAGCAGAACATAACGCTGACATGACGGGTTTGGGACGGAAGTCGTCCTCTTCACGGGCTTTCTTTACTAAGCAAGCTCGCACGCGTAAAAAACACATACAAGGCGAGGAGGTAGGGGGAGGGTTGGGGGGGGCGGGGGAGGTGAGGGAGGGCGGGGGGGGGGAGGTTTTCGTATTGAAGTGTAGAGATTCAGCTCACAGGACGAGAGTGCAACTTAAAACTCTCCCGAAATGCCACAAGGAACAGCGGCCCCTCATGTTGCAGTTTCAGGCTTTGGAGAATGCTTTGCATTGCTCCTTGCAGCCAGGGGGCGATGTTGTCAAGCTGCTCGAGTATCACATCCATCCAGTGCTGGCTCGCGTTGTAGCCCATCACTGCAGAGTTGAACACGAACATCTCCTTTGCTTTCGGACCCTGAGGTCCCCAGGACTACATGGGCTGGGGGAAAGGAATTGGGACGAAACTGGGCTGTAGCGCCAACTGCGAGTCTAAGGGTCAAAGAAGCCGCTCGGGACATTTCCTTGCAGGTTGCCAACGTTGGGGCCCTGCGGATTCTCAGTCTTGTCCTCATTGCCTTCACCCGCATCTGCTTCGCCTGCTTCCTCCTCCTCGTGTCCTGATTCTTCCGGGGCCTCCCGCGTATGTGTAGCCAAGGCCCAGGTAGCATGAATGGCGCGAACGCGAACCGCATACTCCCTGCGGATGTACATGCATGCTCCTCCTACGTAGTTGAGCAGGACTGCTATGCCGTATTTCCCCTTCGACGTCAAGGTTTTGCCAAGATCCATGTCAAAGAGGTCTGTGATGGCGTCACGGAAGGTTTGGATCTTCTGCCGAGTTACATCGAAATCCATGTGCTGGAAGCCCAGCGTCTCGACCAATGGCTTCAGGCGTGACGGATCTCCAGCATTCAAAACAACGGCACCAAAGCCATTCACAAACTTCATGGCCAAGACCGTGGAGGGCGATTTGAATGAGACTTGCAGACTGGGGCTCGCGTCGAAAATCGCCGCAAAGATGGCCTCGCCTGCAGTTTGTCGGGAGGGATAGCGTCCCAGGAAGGCATTCCAAGCCGCCACAGCATGCTCGCATATATCCGGTGCCAAAGCCAGGTCTGGAAAAGTCTCATCGTCGACTTCCTCGGGAAGATCGGCGAACTCATCGGTTGGGTCACCTTCTGCTGCGTTGGCAATGTCAACCCTCATCCATCACGGTGGCTGCAAGGGCTGCCAACACGGACGATACGTCTGTTTGGCGAATACAAAGTGAACACAACTTGCTTGAAAAGTGAGACTTGCGGCACGCACACGTGGCCAAAGCCGGAGTTACACATGGTTTTTCAGCTTCTTGATGCGCCTAAGCCGTGCCCTCCTCTCCCGACTCTCAGACTATCTGGTGAACACTGTACCACATGTCGTTCACACACGGACAAAGCTGCCACTGCCCCACTGTTCCAGCCTCCAGTTGTCGGACAGGATGGTAAGTTTGCCATCCTGTTGCAAGATCGTGTGGAGCCTTAGATGCGCTGATAACAACCTCGCATGGCGACCCCAATAGACCTGCTCTAATAACTGCTGACACGGCACTGGGAAAAGAAGCTGCCCGTCAACAACTCGCTTTTGCTCTCCGCAGTCTCGTCTCCTTGCAAGCGCATTTCAAAAGGTTTCTTTTGCGTTTAGGTCGACTTTGTCTTGCTCATCTGGAGGGGCAACATTCGTGTCACGCGCGCTGGCATCAACATCATCTTTGACGTGCTCATATGCACTAACCCTCCTGAAAAGTGAGGTGGCTCAGGAAAGTTGATGAAGACATGCGACCTCGGCACGAGACACGGAAACGCAGCATTGGCACATTGTACTGACGCCTGAAAACTGAGCCCAAAGCTTCCAGACAGACTGAGGCGTGCTTTTGCTACACCCAAACAGCTACGAAACCAAGCCTTTTTGCCTAAACCCTAAACGGCCTTTTTTGTAACGGGCCCAGCCTGTGAGCAATCCGCTAGAAGTTAGCCACTGTAAGCTCTCAACACAATCCGCGCAGCGCACAACGCCCGAAGGCGTGAGCTGGTACGAAAGGATTTGATATCCTGAAGACGCTTTGCTGCAAAGAGCGAAGATGCACTGCAATGAATCTTAAAGCCACTCGCCTGCATGCCCGAATCCGTCGAGGCATCGGGCAGTGTCTGTCTGTGGATGCACCCCCCTTTTTCTGCCTGGAAATGGTAACCGACCGGAACCAACCCAACACGTGTCCAGGAGTGGACGGTCCATGTGGTCCAGGGGGGCATTTAGCCTCCACCCACCCCCCCCCCCGCACCACCCCGTCCCACCACACCCCCCCACATGGGAGTACCTGGTCTAAACAGGGGCCTGCACCCGCGATCTTCGGTTCGGGTTGCCTCGCCTCTGGGCCCACGCGGGTGTCCTGTAGCATTGAATCTACACCCCAAAACCCATCTAAACTCCGTGCAACTCCCATTAGTCCTACTTTCCTGCCGAGTAGCATGGACTCCGGCTGCACATGCGCTGGAACAACTCGCCCGGCATCACCACGGAGCAGACAAAGGTTACATGCCTCCACTGGCTATAGATATCATCTGAGAGTTCAGGGGGGGGGGGGGGGGGGGTTCTCAAATGTGTATGTATATATATATATACATATACATATACATATACATATACATATACATATACATATACATATATATGTATGATCAGTGCGCGCCCGGTCCCCCGCCCTTGGTACCCCCCCCCTTCCCGTGGTGTGGTCCACCCCCTCTCCCCGTGGGTTGGGGTTAGAGTTTAGGGTTTCTCTTGCCAACCGCCAAGCAGACCAGCCACACTGCAGGGTTTTAGGGTTTACGGTTTCTTAAGCTGTCGCGCAGTGCGTAGGTTTAGGGCTTAGGGTTTACGGACTCTCTTCTTCTTCTTCCCTTCTTCTTCTTCTTCTTCTCAGCAAAGAGGCCCCGCTTGCCGGAAGACCGCCGCTTCTTCTTCTTCTTCTGCTTGAAGAAGCCCCCGTCGGACCCCTCCACGCAGCACGCACAAGCGCGCCCGAGTTCGTTCTTGTTGTGAAACTGTTCGAGCGTTGGTGTTGTCACCTGCTTTTCCCCGATCGTGACACCTGTACTCTGTGCCTCCAGGCTCTCTTTCTTTCTTTCTATCTTTCTTTTTTTCTTTCTTTCCTTACTTCCTTCCTTCTTTCTTTCGTTCTTTCTTGGGGCCTGGGGCAAGCCCCCGCGCATTCTCGGTCTCTCTCTCTCTCTCTCCCTCCCTCTCTCCCTCTCTGTCCCGCTCTCTCTTTCTATTTGTCTTTCCCTCACTCGCCTTCAACTTCAGACCATTACCCAAAAGACCTCAATCAAAGATCTCTCCTAAATGAGTCATGACATGCATGTCGCCCTGGCCTTGCGGAAAACCATTCCTTAGCTACCAGCAGCCTCACGTGTTCACCATGTGTCCTATGCAACATCTGCCGGCTGTACGTCATTGATCCGACAGATTTCTGTATTTTGCGGCTGTCAAGTAGCAGGCGCAACTGCAACTCTTCATGCAGCGCAATCCACTTAAAGCGCAGTGTGCTGGAGCATCCGCACAAGCACCGTGTAGTTCCGCTCAAGGGGTGGGATCAAGACTTCTGCTTTCTCCCGCAACCACCACACCGGCGTCCCACCTTGCCAATACTCCTGTGCAATCTCCCAGAGTGGAGCACGCATGCGATATCTCCACATGTCAACTTTCACGAACTTGGGGAGCTTGCGGTCGTTCAAAGGCCCGTTGGGGAAATACGCCTTGCCTAAAGCTGCTTCTGGCGCCAAGAGGCCAAGAACCGTCGCATCCCCCTCCAGGACCTTTGCCAAAAATGCCCACATCCAGGTCTCACGTCTTTCCAGGTAGAGCGCATGAGGTTTGAATCCCAAAAACCAAATGTTCCAGTCGAGTCTGTAATGATAAGGAGCGCACAAGCATGGCCGACGAGTGAGGCTACCAGGCTTACATGGAAACTCAAGCTCATGCCAAGACTTCTTGTCATGTGAAACTGATACAATGGCCTCATAGCGCTCCTGTCCCACGTTTCCGAAGGCACCATACGTGTTCACAAGCCGAAATGCCCCAAACGAAGCATTCATGACCTGGCGCCGTCCTTCAGACTGTAAGAGATTTTGGACGACGGGCACCGACAGATATGAGATGATCAAAACGAGAGTTGCATCCGTCGTCCAGCGGATCAGGCGACCACCCTGCATCTTCCGCCCTCTTGGAGGAGGGCCACGGGACGTGCGAGACACCCGGCGCGTGCAGAGGAACATCGACAAGCAGGAGTCGTCCAAGCATGCGAGCGCTGGCACGAGGGTCAAGTGATTCAGGAAGGAAAAGTTTCCTGACATGGCAATGTTCAGCATGAAGACGACCTGTATGAGCCCACCTAAACGCCTCAAATGTCGAAGAGGCCCCCAGCCAGGAACCAGCACCAACCACACTGCATAAAGTTGGACAAAAATATCTAAGTCCACTCCAGCTGACAAGATGTCTCGCGGCAAGAAGTGCCAGAGAAAGGACAAAGGTGATGGATTGGGCTGTGTCTCGAAGTGGTACCACAAGCATGTACGATCGGTCCAGCAACTAGAGCCTCGCACCTTAATTAGCCCTGCACCCGTGGAGATTCGGAAGCTGAGCCAGCGGAAGAGCCAAAGAACCGGCAGGGAAGGACAAGCAGACAAGTCGAAAGGAGAACACAAGAAAATGGCAAGGAAGCCTGTTTCGAGTAGCTGGCTCTCCCAACCGTAGCTGTACCAAGAAGTTCCCTGGGCTGAAGTGACCACTGAGAAGTAGGACAGCCAAAGTGCTGCAGCTACGATGGAGGAGTACAGGCCAAACACCATGGAAAGGCTGCATGCGATCCCGAAGTAGCTGAGTAACTGCATACTCTGGTCATTCAAAGTGACGAACCAGTAGATGCTTGGAGCCTGACGGAAGCCTTCAAGAGCTGAAATCCCCTGCTTCTGCTCTTCCCAGCGGTGGGCCACGGGTGTTATTCCTTGTGAGCCCATCAAAGCCAGATTCTGATCCAGCGCCACTTTGAAGGCCACGAAATACATCAAGCCCGAAAGCCGGAGGATGACTGCCTTCGTCAGCCGGAAGCTCTGTTCCAGTTTGCCAGGACCCTTGGCTTCCGAGTCGTCTGCTTCATCCTGGCTTGGAGCAGCGGCGTTTTCCGCGGCAGCCGCGGCCACCTCCACGCGACCACGCTGCCGCATGGGACATCTACCCTTGCAAGCTCGAGAAATCTACCTGAGCCGATAGCCGGTCAAAGCTGCAGTCCTCGTGAAGCTTAAATTAAAGGGCAACTCCGACAACTCCACTTTGGAGCGTTCACTTGTCATGGGAGAATCTTTCGAAGAGTAGCTCTATCCTGAAGCAGATTCTTCAAGGCAAACGGGCACGAGGCACACTTGCCAACTTGCCAAGTGGCGGCTGAAGATCTGATGCACGCGATCATGTCGGAGCTCCAGCGCCATCCAGTTGGCCAGCCCTTCATCTGCCTTGGCCTGCGCAATGACCTCCAAGGCTGCTGCTTGATGAGTTTTCGCAGCTGCTTCGCACTGGTCACAAGCTCAGCCCAAGACCCAATCACCATTGCCTGAGCATATCTCCATCTTCATGGGCAAAGGTGGGTCACTCTCAATCTTCCTGCAACACGGTGCGGAACTGCCGTGGCATGCCGTGGCCATAGTGCGCAGCAGCATAGCACAAAAACAATGCTTGCTTGCTTCTTCCTCTCGCAGATGGCCTCTTGCCGTGCAGCTCCGGCGCAAAAATCTGCGAACCGCGCAGGCGCAGCTTCTTCGAGAGGCAAAGCCGAAACGATGTCCGCGCGTCTTCCTCCGAGAGGCCCACACGCAGGAGCACCTCTCCTCGCGGCATGAGGGGAGCGAAAAAATGGGAGCATTGTTGGGGAAAAAGTTCGACCGTTTGTATCAAAGCCACGCTTCCCATATTCGTGCGCATCTCTATATGTGATTTTGTATGCACTCTTCCTTGCACAGCGCCTGCCCTTTTATGTTCGGATTATCATGTCAAGGTTGGCCACGGCTCCAAGCCCAAAGGAACGGACAAGCTCGTCGACACAGCACTGCGCCAACTCAGCTTTCTCCGTACAGGGCTCCGTGCCTTAGACTCTCGTAGACTCAGACCCGACAGCCTGAGGCCTCGTCGTCCCTGACGAAAAGCTGCCAAATCATCAAAAAGCATCAAAAAAGATCAAAAAAGAACGTGCCTTACTTTGAGCAAGTTGCCGAAAAGAAAAGTGCGACAAAGAAATGAATATGGCTCGGGTGGCTGCTCTTGGTTGAGGAAATGAGAGATCCGCTGTATCTCTCTGGAGGCTTCTTCGCGACTCAGCTCTTGGAAAAGACCATGACTTCCAACACCGCCCTGGCCACCTTCTTCAGTCGATTCGTAGAAGTCCTCAGGAAACTCAATTATTGATATTCTCAATGAATTTTTACTATTATTATGAGTATTATGAATACTATTGATCGTATTATTACTATGATCAACTCTGCATAACTGTCGCACCTTGTCGCGCTGGACCCTCCCACATGGAAGACAAAACGTCCTCTGCGCATTTCAGTGCTCGCCGGCAAAGGGGCCAACGACCAAGCATCGCCGCAGCATGGGCCATAGACAGGTTCATTGCAGCCATTGCAGCAACCTTCTCCTGCTGCATGCGCTCCTGTCTGCAGAATTGCTCGCGCTTTTCTAGATTCAGCTAGGCGCTGATATGCAGAGCTGCATATAAGAAGGCCCCAGATGACCCAGTACTGACATCGATGGAAGCTGCCAAGAGCTAGATCAGGCAGGAGATGAATAAACACAAGTGTTGCCCACATTTAGCCACAATCAGAAAACAAATGCCTCTAGAGTTCAGCATTCCAGGACAACATCCAGCTCTCAACTCACACTCGTTGCTCGTGCTTGCCTGTGCCTCTATTTCTGCTCCTATTGAATGTCGCTGGTCTGGTTTTGCCCATCCGTGGTGTGAGGATGTGTGAGGCAAGCAAAGGGACAAGATCAGAACGGCTCAGGCCTGGCTCTCAGGTGACGCTTCCAGGTCGTGGTGGAACTTGCAGTTTACTCCCTGCCGAGATGACTGTGGCAAACTCGACACGCGTGCACTGCTCAGACTGCGAAGGGCCTTGGTGCACGTCCCAGATGCCCAAAACTTGCAGGCTTGCCGGCCCATCGTCTTCCCACCGCCGTGTTCGGTCAGAGGGTTCGCCTTCTGCAGTTTCCTTACAAATCAAGGCTTCTGGCAACACAGTGTTACATGTTGCTGTTCCCTTCCTATGGATCACACGCCGAGGCAAGTCTCTTCATCAGCTCCTTGACAGCGCTTTTCGGAAGTCGCGGAAGCGCAGCTCAACAGCACAGCAAATCGAAATGCAGCCAGCATCAGTCCTTGATCGCGCTCACTCGCAGGCCCTGGCTGAGCAGCTGCACAACGTAGCGGAGGCTGATCGAATCTGGGACAAGCTGCCAGCTGCTCTCCTTGCATAGGTTGTTTCTCGAACCCATGGGTCTAGGACCGACAACTCATACCCACATCGCTCCGCAAAACTCAGCTTCTCTCCATCTTGCTGAAGACATCGCTAGCTAGCGGCACATCACCATGGTATAAGCAGCCTGGCACAAGGAAAAAAACTTAAAGAATGGGGCAGAACTCGGCGGCTGACTTGCCTCGCGCCTCGGAAGAAGGCATTGACAGCGCGGGCATCTGGCGCAACCCCCTGCGCAATCATTTCATCCAGAAGTGCCCGCGCGGCGTTCATCTTGCCCTCTTGGCTGTAGCCCTTGAGCAGAATTGTGAAGATGCCTCGCACCATCTTCTCTCTGTCGCCGTGGCTGCCAAGAACAACTTCTAAAGCAACTTCTCAGCGTGCAGGCAAAAGGCTCACATTGGGTTTGATGCCATGCCGTTTCATCGCGGACATTACTTCCAAAGCTCCCGGGACGTCTGCAGCGCGCACATACGCGTTGATGAGGCTGGAGAAGGTGTACACGCTGGGCTGCAGGCCCTCTTCCCTTGGGAACAAACGAACCAAATTCATAGCTAGCGGCTATTGCCGTTGCTCAGTCTTTTTCGGTGGTTCGCCCGGCTTAGCTGCGCGCACGGGCCGGAGACTACCTTCAAAACGCAAAGACAAGAATCCATGGGCCGAAAAGCCACGGCTTGCTTCGCGTGACAGCATGAATGTTGCTGTTGTTCTTGCGCAACAAACTCACAAGCCAACAGGTGAGGCCCCAGCGGGGACTTGCAGAACCCAGCACGGGGCGAATTCAGAGGGCAAACCCGAGCCCGCGCCGCAGGCACGCATGGCCGCGGAGTGGACAGCAGGCCAATGCAGATAGAATCCGAGACCGATCTCGCGGCCTTGAGGATGGTAGGGAACCACGTGCCAGGGCGAACCCGCAAGCCCTCACTTTCCGATATCCCAACCCAATGCGAGCCTGCAGCCTCATGTGCCGGAGCAGCCGGCACATAAGCTGTGAGGACACCTCAACGCAGAGGCAGAGTGTACGAAACAATGTGCTGCACGAGCACCAGGACGTCAGCGCAAGGAACCAAGACTACCCCCACCCCTCTGCTTCTCGCAGACTGGGGTCCGTCAGCTGCCGTCCGTAGCCAGAGGATGGTCCCGAGCAGGATCAAGGTGGATCAAGGTGGGTCAAGGTGGGTCAAGGTGGGTCAAGGTGGTGGTGCATTGGAGGAACGGCAAGACGGCACAACGAGGGACGAGACACTCGTGGCCCGCACTAGAAGCCGGCTGTCCATCCGAAGAAGTCACTGTATATTCTGCATGAACGGATATGCTGTGGGCAAGCAGGCGCGCAGCCGACGTTGCGACGCGTTCCGCGATCTGATGGTCAAAGAGTGCCGCAACGCGTGAACACATGTGCTTGACAGTTGGGATTCGGGACTGCTTGTGTACAAACACGTCCTACCCTTGCAGCCAAATAGCTCAAACTTGTGGAAGGTGGCGATGGCTCGTTTCAACTGTTTGTTGCGTGCGAGCTCGGCAATGGTCTTTGTGAGATCCTCCGCGTGTTCTGTATACGTGGGCAGCTCGTTTTGTTGCGAAACAATCCGAAAGACCGCTTTGGAGGTTACTTTGGTCGAGGCGCTTGCGCACGGGAGCTCTTCTCCTGAGTCCTCTTTGCGGGACCTGCACAAGTCTGAGGCGTTGTGCTGCTGTCAGGCTGTTGCAGAAGCCAACTCAGGTCCCTAACACACGTCCAGCCACTTTGCTGATGATGTCTAAACTTTCCAAACAAAAGCACCTCCAGCTGGTCCCTTGCCGTGGCGTGGTCGGGAGCGCCACTTCTGCGGCATCGCATCGTGCGGAGCCGCAATCGCTCGACATGGCAGCGAAGTACAGGGTTTGTAAATGAAGGACACGGGATGCAACATCATATACAAGCTAATTCCAGGCGACTGTGTGCCGCAACGCTTGTAACATACACCCCAGACTGAAGATGCCTAAGCGGAGCAGTGGCTTCGGAATGCCAGCACAGGCTGTCACAAGCGCTCACTGTATCAAAAGGCAACGGATCCCAGTGCGTCTATCAGTCCATCACATCCATGATCATCCATGTAGAGGTCCCCGCCGTCAAGTGCTGCCTGCAGAGAGGACTCCACAAATAGGAGGCCTCAGCGGCTGTGCATAGGGGTTTACGAAAACAAGGGGTGCCGAATACAGACCCCCCAAAAAAGTAGGATTCCCTTATAATAAGGACCCCAATAAGGTACCCCCCCTAATTTCGTAAACCCCAACATCTCAGCGGCTAGCATGCAGGTTGCTGCTGTGCTCCTGCCTTTTGGTCACAGCTGGCAGCAAGTCGCTGGGCAGAGGCCTCGTGAAACGGAAGCGCTGTCCGCATCTGCCTCCAGCATGATGAGGATAAGTTGCGGAGGGTCACAGACATGGAGGAGAAGGCTCATCTAGTCATCTAGGAAGCTCGATATCGCATCGTCTGACTCGGCTGCCTCCTCAAACGTCTCAGAATCTGGATTCTCTGGCGGGCCACCCGATGATGGACAAACGACCACAAGTGTGTACATGAGAGCCCAATCGTCAAACGACATCCAGAAGCTGCCATCGTTACCTCAGTCCGGCAAGAAGTTCAGCAAAGCTTCTCTGTTCGAGGCATGCTTCCCCCTTCCTGTTTCTGCAACTGAGGCCAAAACGGACACGAGCATCCAGCTTGTCCATGAGGAGCGGATTCTGCTCCCATCTCTCACTGGAATCGCTCCAGTCTCCTGTCCACTCCTTTCTGCCCCACGGGTTCCGGAGCAAGACGAGCTGGACATCAGTGCCATCATCTTGTGTCTCGGAAACAATGTTGAGGATCGCATAGTAGTGCTTGACATACAAGCCATTGGTCTTGGCCTGTTCGGCCGCATCTCCCTCTGCCACCCCAATCATGCAGGAGAGTATATGATCCGCGCGCAGATGGCCCTGCAGCATTTGGAAAAGCTGGTTCGGGGAGTGCGTGTCTTTGTTGGTCCACCTCCACCAACTGTTTCTAGGATTTCGCGGCCCACGTTCCAATTGCTTCTGCTGATGCATGAATCGCCTTCGCCAAAGGTCATCCGACAGCTTCTCAAAAGACAGGACGTGGATTTCGCCGGTGAGGACCTGGAAGGCCCAACCAACACCTCCACCTGAAAGAGCCCCATAGCTGCCACAGAACTTGGCTACTGCTTTTTCCAGCAGCTGCACCCAAATCTCTTCACCCAGGGGTCTGGCAAAGGTGGGTGCTGGTATCCCATTCTTGATGTTGCACGGAATGAACTCGTCAATGCTGACCTCCGTCCAAGCCTCTGCCTCAATGTCAAACAGCCGAAGATGGTACTTGCCTTCCTCATTCAACTGCCTCGTGTTCGGAAACAAGGCCTTGATTCGGCCGGGGTGGTCGGCCAGGCAGCTCAGGGATGACAGAAGCCAACAGTCGCCCAGTGAGCCTTGGATGACGTCTTGGGGTCGGATCTGGTCAAATAGCACGGCCTCTGCAGGATCCCCGAGCAGGCGAGCACGGACCCAGACTTCCGGAGTTCCGACGCTGAACTGGGACGACGACTCCCCGATGCTGGAACTGTCACAGGGGAACTCGCCATCTTTGAAAGCGTTGGGGTCGTCCTCTGTTCCAGCATACTCCGCTCGCGCCGTCCATCGATACCTCCATTTCCAGGCCTTGCCTTTTTCTTCAACAGCACAGAGGGTCTTGGCAACTTCTTCGCCGGGCCGCAGCAGAAACGTGACAGGATTCCCTTCAGGAAAGGCCATGTTGCTGCAGCTGTTGAAAGTGATGGTGAAGCGCTTGCTGGCACGATCGGAGGTGTTTATCATGTTTACAGTGACCGTGCCAGTCTTGTCCTGCGCAGCCTTCACTGCTGCTTTTTGCGCCGTCAGCCAAGAAATGAATTCATGCACCTGAGCAGTGAAGAAAATGAGATACGATGCTTTAAGGCTTTAAGGCTTTCAATGGAGCAATGGAGCGGCTGGTTCCGGAAATCGGTGGGGCACCTATTTTCGGACCACCATCCCGGAATACACGTGGAAACATGGGCACTGCACTCTGGGGCTGTGTGTGGGGGTGGGTTTCGGTGTTTGGGGCGGGGGGGGCAGAACGATACATGTCAGTGCCTTCTGCGCGTGTACTCATGTCGTGCACTACTCATTCGCTAACCATCTGTCCTGCACCGGCTGCGTTGTGTCCTGCACTGGTTCCCCCCGCCCCCGCCCCCGTCCACTTGCCCCGGGCCCTGAGGCGTTTAGAGGGATTTGGGCCAGCAATGCCTGGCCACTACCTCCTCCCTCCCTCACCCTGCCGCACACACAACCCCCTACCCTCCGCTTAGCCTCACGTTCGCGGGTGAAAGTAATACCCTGGCGTTGTTGCCGCATGGTCCGAGAGGCGCCTGTATGACTCCATCCTTGTTGCTGTCTGCAGCTTTGAAGATGCGCTCAGCATCCTTCTCGGAGATCCCGACCTTGCTGAAGACGTTCTTCATCTCAGACTCGGACAGCACACCATCTCCAGAAAGATCATACCTAAGCTACCCGAAGCTGAGGTTCAAAGACCCAACCACTGGGTGATAAGGAGAAGAGTTGTGTCAAGGGACTTTGCAAAGAGCTCTTGCAATCGTCGTTTGCCAGCCATGAAGCTCGAAGCACTTTGCTACTTCAAGCACTGCAACTGGCTTCAGCAAGGCTTTGTTGCTGACAGGCTCACAACGTCTACATGCCAGGGCCAGGAAGGAAAGTTGCGGTTGCACTTGTGTTGACCGACATGTTGCGCAGCAGTCGACAAGCCCCAAGGCTAAAGCTCAGGCACATCACACTCAGCTTCCGTGTCTTGAGGTTACGGCGTTGAACCTCGATGCTCTGGCTTTGGAGCTCTTGCACCTTGAGATAACTCCCACATACTCCCCAAGGGAGCGCAGGTCCCCAGCGCTCAGCTCGAAAGCTTCGGGGTCCACACCGCGTCGTGCCTCTCCTGCTCGGCCAACGCAGCCACCTCCATCGCAAAATGGCAAAAAACAACCCGGATGAGCACTAAGTCCGGCAGATCTGGTCCATCATGCCTTTGAATACTACTAAACTTTTGTTGAACCCGCGCTATGCTACTAAACTCTGCAGCCTTACGTGCGACCATAAGACCACTGCTCAGTCGAAGATGCCTACAGATACCTACACTGTTGTCCTACGGTGTAGTCCTACAGGGCAATCCTGCAGTGCACAGTGATCCTACAATCGTCCACCCACAGCCAGGGCTCGTGTAGACTTGGGCCTCATGCAGCTGGGCCCTCAAGCTTCCGACTTCCGCTTCGTGCTGAGTCTCCAACCTGGGAGGATCGTGTAGAATGCAAGAATATGTAAGAGAACAGGATGGAGCCCAGTACACAATACAGAAGCCTACTGAATCATGCAAAATATTGAATGCATCATATTGACAGAGAACATGTAACAATGCCATTGATGGATGATGAAGGGCTACTTGCTTCTTTTTCGTTCGTGCATGCAGGCCGGGGCAAATGATGCGGTCTCGCTCTCGCACTCTCACTCACTCACTCACTCTCTCTCTCTCTCTCTCTCTCTCTCTCTTGGCTCGAAGACTCACGCGAAAACGTCATGAAGCAGACCCTGTCTCATTGACTGCATGGCATCTGGCCGTATCAAATTCTAACCTGGGCAGAGCACTCTGAGCAAGATAGCGTGGCATTGGCGGCGGCTTCCTGCAGCTCCTTTTTTCGGCAGCGGGACTCTATAGCATGCCCGGATTACACCGCTGCTGCAGCTCCTGCTTGAACCGTATATCAATCTATCCATGTAAATCATGTAGACCACAGAGAATTCACTATCCGTGGTCCTTGACACGCTGCTGGTGCAGAGAGGCCTGCATTGGCATCTGAGCACGCGGCAAGACTGACAAGAAGATCGAGGAAGAATGGCCCATGCAGCAAGGCATGAAACGACCTGCATGTGTTTTTTGTTCTGCTCGGCTCGACAGGACCTGCGTCTGCATTGGCAAGTCGCTCGACCTTCCCAGACGCTACCAGTGGCGCTAAGGACGCCTCCCTCGCAACCGTTCGACGAGGCATTGCGGGCCGCAACCGCCGTCAACTTGGGTTTGTTCAGTCAGGGCCCCTTGGTTCAAAAGGGAATCCTCTTCTACAAGGTATCGAAGACTGTACGGGGGCCCGGTTTTGGAACAATCCCCAACTGCCTATCCGCAGCCACTGGTTCTTCCGGCAGCTGTGCGGATCACCCGTGTTTGGCCAATGAAATGAAGCGCAGCGATCACAGGGTCAGGTGTCGACCTGCCACTTGTCCCGCTGTACTTTTTTTGCCGGGCAGCTAGGCAAACTGCTCAAGAAGAAAGTTGTACCTCAGCTATGACCACTTGGCCAGGGCTGATGGCAGCCTCCGTGCTCTACGCCAGTAGGACCACCGGCATGCGGTTTTGTACCGGGCGGGCATGACTTGCTCACCAAGCTGCAGAGGTTCAAGCTGGTTCTTCTTCGCCGAGATTCTGCACGTTTGTATTGGGCATGGGGCATGCTCCTCCCGGGCAAGACATTCCTACGTTGTTTATGTGATTGCGCTCTCTGCTTGGCCTACTGCTTCCCCAGTGTGCCACCCACTGCGGTCCGTGAGCTTGAACTTCTCCCCATCTACGCCGAGGTAGCCTGCGTTCCGATGCGAAGCCCGCCGCTTGCAGAGAGGCCAACCAGTGTGGAGCCAAGCTCAAGGCACTAAGCACGTGTAAGCACCCCACTGTCTGCTTGATCTTGACCCTCCAGTGTCGCTCCCCGTGAGACCCGCATCTGTTCTATCTCGCGCTCGATTTCCTCTACCTTACCAGTGCAAATATCATCAGGCAATCAAGACAGCATGACGATAATTGGAGAGCATAGACGGTGGACATGTGAACGCACTCACGAATAGCAGCAAAATTCTGGTGTACCCTGGCTCTCGGTCAAGGCCCCTGACAATAAACTTCTCTGTGCGAGCTGATGTCAGATCGCTCTTGTTGCAGGCCACCATAATGGGAGTGTGGAGCTCCAGAACATCCTGGCAGAATGTGCAGGAAGACATGAGCTGGCGCTGGGGGTGCATTATAAGGCCCCTGCTGGGTGAGTGAAGAGCTCGTAGAAGTGTTCTGCCACATCCTGGGGGCTTCGGGCTTCGGGCCCTCAATGGACAGCTGCTCCGAACAAAGCGCTTCTTTAGCAAATTGTTGGAGTCATTCGGGCCCGAGTATAAGCAGCATGTTGTCGCCGTCCTTCAGCTTAGGCTTGTCTTCTGCATCGACCAAGTAGATGATGCATCGTGCCTGAGGCAGGTTGCACCAATGCTTGGGAGCACCCTGCTGCGGTGATGTGACCCAGCGGTTCCGTTTTGGGACATTGTATCGTGAACTGTGTCCCATTCTGATTCAGGAGAGTACAGTCAAGACATTCAATGCCTCCTTGACCATGTCGTTTGCTTTCCCTCTCATGCGCAAATGACCAGGAAAGTCCACCACCTCGGTCTGGAATGCACCAGGCAGCTTGCACATGAGGATATTATCTGCCCGCATACTGCATGCTTCACTGCGCCTCCAGGGGCCCCAGTTTTTGATCTGCCTGCGGCAACATTATGCAACTGGAGCAGCCAGGCACAACCGGAAGCAGGAAGGCCCTGGCAAGGGCAAGCAAGGGCGCCTCGCCGGCTTTGATCTCAAAACTGTCACGCGCAGGCGAGAGCGAGGAAACTGTCTGCACCTCACTGCACAACCCGGCAAGATCATACAAGCTCAACACAACCTGCTCTGTTGAGAGGGCCAGTTTGAGGGAGGAATGGGCAAGATTACCTGATGAATACGTCCCGAGCCTCAACCGATTCTCTAGCGCATCGTAGCGCATGCTACAAACTGATGGGTCTCAAGCCTGACAACGAGATGCACTTCGGAGCAGTACATTCTTGCGCAGTTGCGCAGGGGTCATGCTAGTCTTCCACGCACACAAGTGATCCCGGTCTCCCTGCTGCCTCTTCCCCGTCTCGGAGTCGGAAGAAAACAGCAGTTTTGCCAGATCCACACGGGCCTTAGGCGCATGCCTACCATTCTGCCATACCTGCTGCTATCGTAAGCCAGACTGGGCTAGCATGGCCAGCACCGACATGGGCTCCCCTGTCACGGTCGATTTCACCAAGGCACCTAACAGTAGCGCTGCATTTCCTCGGGAACGCCGCGGTCGAATTCCCGAGCCACTCACAACCTGACTCGAGCCAGTGCTCTGGGGCTCTGGGGGTGCCAGCAGCCCCTACAAGTCCTGCGCCAAGCTGCTTGAAAGATGTGCAGCGTCGCATAGATGCTGATGAGTATCACTAGGAACGTCAGAACCTCAGCACCGCAGATGCAGGAAAGGTGTTGCGGGCGAAGGCTTGTCACAGCAAAGCACATCTCAGCACTGAGCCAATGCGGTGCTGGATCCGACCCCCAAAGAGGCTTCGATGGCTCCTGAGGCCTTGCGGACGTACTCCATCATCTGGCGCAGGACGCATACATTCGCACTGGGGTCTTAGCGGTCTTAGCGTCAGGTCTTGCGAGCCGTTCCGGAACTTGCATTTTCAAGGTGAGTGCACGACAATGCGTACCAACATGATCCCTGCAGGCCTCGTCTCCGATTCGTAAAAATGCGCCCCGAAGCGCTTGAGCTGTGGTGCGCGCGTGTCGACGTCAAGCGTTTCAGCAACACTCTCACAAGTCTCAAAGGCAGTGGTCCAATTTGACGAGCTGAATTTGCAACCGACTGCCTGAGAGCATAGCTAGACAGATCTAAGCAGGCTGCACATATCTGCACATCGAGCATCATCGAGCCAGCTCTGGCGCACATCCCGCCATGCGCTCTCCCCCTCAACGGCCTCCGTACGCAAGCTCATCAGCTCGGCCTTGTGGGTGCCAGACCTTCCATGGAAGGACTCCCCTGATATCACCCGCAGCCTGTTCGGTACATTTCGAAAGTCCTACAGAGGCCTAGAAAGACTTCGTAGTGGGATTAGTGACTAGTGGCAAGACGTGGCATCACCAGGGCTCTGGCTGTTTCTGCCTCGGCATCAAACGAACGCTCATGTGATTGGGGCGTATCATGGTGTACCTGTCTGCCGCGTCCTTGCGTGGCCTCTCATTTCCGTCCCTCAGAAAGATCTGCGGCGTCGGCTCGATTTCCAAAGCCTCACCTAAGCAAGCCCAAAGCAGACCCAGCGAACTCCATGCCCCGCACATGTGAACAAAGGTTTGCCCTTTGCAGACCTGGCGTGGCTTTTCCGCTGCACCGCCGTGTCTTCACTACTGCCCCTCCGTTCTTTCATAGCTCTGTCATGCTAGCACAGGAAGGCGCGTTCAGTACGGGATCTTTGGCTTCAAGAGGTCTGCTTTGTTGGAACTCTTCCTTACAACAGGCAACGGCAGGCGCTGTCGGCACACTGCTGCATAGTCATAGCTCCTAGCCGATCTGCTTGCCAGGCTTCCGGGCCAACCACATGACATTCAAAAAGTCAGAGGAACGGCCCAGAGCTGCAAGGCCAAGATTGCCGCTTTGGGGCGGCATCCTGTTCAACGTAACAAACACATCTTGAGATGGGGCTGCTAACTGTTATAGGCTCCCCTTCCTGCGTACCTTTTTGATGATAGGACTCCTCGTAATGAACGGGGTCCCAAAAAAGGCGCCCCTAACAAGGCGACTGAGATGTGCTGTGCGGGTTTCTGTAAAGTTCAGGAAGATACCAGCAAAATCCAGCAAATACAGCCACGGCACGGAGGCGCGTAGCGTCGCAAGTTGCCGCCCCACTTGCCACGAAAGGAGCGCCCAGAGACGAACTTGTAGATGGCTTTGGCATAGTGCTTGCGAAGGTTCACGCCTTGCACTCATTGCAAGACCGCAAGTGAGTAAAACAGTAACACTGCACTCAGACTGTAATCAGCCCAGTCGGGCATTTGCTCTCACGGCTGAACTCAACCGCCCTACTGGGAGGTAGCCCCGCAATATCAATACATATCAATACCCTATGCAGCCTAGGCCCCGTTAAACACCAGGCAATCATTTGTAGCACTGGCCACTGGCAACGGGCTAAGGTGGGCTAAGGCTCTACGTGCACAGCAAGTCAAGCCACTGGGTGGCAGGATGAGGGTGCGCTGGAACTGCTTGAGGTCGCGGGCGTGGAGGTCATCCTTGCAATCCACGGTGAAGAGCAGCTTGGCCAAGGAGTTGCGGTCCTCCAAGTTGTTGGGGTTCTGCACCCAAGACAGGTTTCCCGCGCCGAGTGCCTCCGTCACGATACGGTTCTTCTTCTCCGTCTCGAGGACGATGTAGAAGTTGCATCCCGCGCGTGCATCCTTGGCCAAGTGGAGCTGCGGCTCTTGCTCCATGGCCTCCACGTAGACCTTGCACTTCACGAGCCTCTCTCGGCCAAGCGCGTCTTCGGAATCCACGGCCTTGGCCTCCCAAGAGGCGGCGCCACTGGAGAAGACCACCGCAATGGCCTCCTGCCCGTCCACCTCCTGTGTAGTCCTCACCTGCGGGCGTCTGAACACCCCGGCTGCAGCTGCGCAATCAACATATTCAACATCAACGCAGCCAGAACGCGGGTGGTGGTGGGGGGGGGGGTGGTGCATGGGAGGGGGCGAGAGCGGAAACGCGTGCGAGCTACTGTGGGGTGCGACTACAACAGTGCCGAGTTCTAGCATGCCCAGGCATCCCAGGCCTCCAGGCTTCCGATCTTGTAGATGCGGAAGGCGATGCCATCTTCCGTGACCTGGTTGAACTCTGGCGCAGCGGCAGGGAGGACGTTCTCCAGCAGCCCGCGCTTGAAGGCCTCGTCCACCTCGAGCTTCTTCAGGCCAAACTTTGTGGGTGCCGTTTGCGCTCGGCCTTCCATCTCCACTTGGAAGCGCGGGGTCCAGGAGCGGGGGAAGTCCAAACCTGGGTTGGTCACGGCGAAGGACTTGTCGCTGAACTTCTGCCGGCGACGCTCACGCAGGGTCTTCTCCTCGCCCACAAGGCTGCGGACCTTGGTGAGGTACTCGAGGTTGGGGTCCGGCGGGATGAAGGCGTCGCCCTCCTCGACACGGTCGCACTGCGGCACGCTGTAGATGTTCAGCAAGAGGCTCTGGTCTTCCGGCTTCACGGCGAAGGACTTCTGCCGCAAGCCTTGCAGGAAGGCCTTGCCCAAAATGGTACGGGCCTCCAGCGAGTCTGGGCCTCCACTGCAGGGCGGCAGGCGGCCCACGAAACGCTCCTCCGTAGACAAGGAGAACTTGTCCAAGTTCAGGTCCACACCCTGTGGCATCTCAGGACGCTGTCCCAGCTGGAAGCGCTGTGGCATGAACATGGGCCGGCCGGACTGGGCCAGCTGCACCCCTGGCACACTCGGCTTCTGACCTGCGAGCGCGTGACGCTGGGCGAGCTCGAAGCGGTCGAGGCCAAACTCCACGCCGCCATAGATGGCCTGGAGGTTGCTCTGGCCGCCCGTCACCATGTCCACCAAGCGGCCTTCCTTCAGCTTGATGCGGGAGTTGCCACGCATGTTCCAGAGCTGCGGGATCTGAGGGTAAGGCTCCGGCTCCGTGGCCTTCACAATCTCGTCGGCCAGCCTATACCAGGTCGGGTCCAGGCGTGCCTTTGAGTCAATGAGGTACTTTGCCATGGTCGAGGCCTTGGCAAGCTCACGCAGGTGGAACACCACGCTCTTCCGCTCGGCGATCAGGTCGAAGTTGCGTGTGAAGGCGTCGGCGAACTTCTTCAGGGGGTGGTGAGGCAGCGTCACCGGGGCATCCTCCAAGCCCTTCTTCGTCACCACCTGCTCCCGGGCCTCGACTCCCATCTTGACGTGGGGGATCAGCGTGTTGTCCTCGGCCATGCGGATCTCCGCCTTCTTGACCACGTACCACTCGCGGCCTGCCCAGCTCTTGTCCTTGTCCTTCATCTCGGACCAGTCAAAGACGCTCAGCATGCCAACCACCTCAGCTCAAAACTCAAAACGCATCTAGCTCCATATGGTGCTCCATGATGACACTATATGACGCTCCATGCCGTGCAAAAGCCGACAGTGTACTCGACATGATGATTCCGCATGGCATCGTCGCACCTTCCAGCATTCCAGCCTCTGCGAGACCTCGTTAGGTTATGTTGGGTTATTATGTTGGGTTGGGTCCTCTAAGGCGGGCCGCGGGCATGTCGTACTCTCCGAGCGCAAGCTCCTTCAGGAAGTAGTCGGCCTGGAACATGACGTCGCCCACGCTGGTTCCCGCCAGCCAGCTGGGCTCATACACCTTCTTCTGCGGGGTCTTCTCCAGGTTCTGCGGGTCCACGGGGTCCAGCGAAAAGAGAGGCTCTCGAGAGGCCGTCTTACGGACCTTGAGTGCCAGGAGCAAGTACTCCAAATTCACCGCGCAAGACGGCTCAGCGGTTGCTGCGACCTTGACCGTGCGGGACGCCTCGTCCAACACTAGACAGCACAGCCCCTGCGGCGCAGGCGTACAGCCCATGCGCTCGGCCAGCGGGGCACTCTTCGGCACGCTGTCCATGCGCCAGCCGATGTCATACTCGCGCCGGTTCTTCTCTTTCTTCACATTCTCCCGCTTCACCCGGGCATCCTCCTCGCGCTGCGCCTCCTGCGTCATCACCTGAGCCATGCACTCCGTGTGCACGCACGTCTGCTTGCCCTCGCGGCCCTGGTAGGCAAACTCCCCCACCGGCAAAGAGCAGCGCGGGCACAGGGGCACCTCCTCACCCTGCACGCGAAGACATATGCACGTCTTGGATACTTGGGAAACGATGACGCAAGGTCATGGCTTGCTGATTCTCACATGATTGTTGTGTTTTCGATTTATGTCTCTGCCCACCCGCATTTATGTCTCTGCCGCTCGTCTGTTATTCCTGTTTTTCTGCTGCTGTTGACTTTTATAGGTCTTGCGGCATACTGGCTTTCAGGTCTCAATTTCGGCAGCAGGCCAGATAACTGTGTCCGCAGTTTTGCCCTACTGGACGCGGTGAAAACCAAAAACATAGTGCTTTGACCAAGCTCTCGAAATACCCGTCGTTAGCATTCGTTAACCAGCATGAACCCCCCCCGGGTCGTGAAATGTGTGTGCGTGACCGGCTCGCAGTTGATTCGGTCCATGAATCAACTCCGTCCTGCATGGTAGAGCGTACACGTTTTCCCCCAAAGGTGCATGTCTGTCCGCCTCCCCCGGACCCGCCTATGAAACCTTGTGATGAAGGCACTGGGCTGTCTTTATTTTGCTCCCTGCCTCCGAGTCGACCTCGGAATGCTTTGTAGTCGAAGTACGTGGCTTTGGCTTGAAATCCATCGCTGCTTCGAGAGCCTTGTCGCGTCACATCAGGTCACATCCACGTCCACAGCGCTACAGCCTCCAGCTTTCAGCCCCTCAGGCCCAGCCTCCGTTGAGACATGCTGCACTTTCGCAGGCTCCTTGGGCGTGAACCAGGGGAACGCCTTGCGGTTGAAGCCTCGAAAGGGCACGATTTTCGGAGCCTAGAAGCGCTTCCACGCTCATGCGTCTCCAATCTCCAGGTGCCTGCGCTGGTGCCATCACGGCTCTCGCCAAACTTCTCCAGGTACTGCTGAAAGGCCTCATCTTCGTCCTCTGCTGGTTTCCTTGCCAGGCCAGGAGCTTGGGGACTGTACACTGCAAGCTTGCATTTAAGCCACTCAACATCACTCACAAGCCCCTACATGCTTGCCAGCGTCAGGTCCAGTTCCTTCTTGAGCGGCTCATCTACTGCATCTACTGCAGCAATAATTTCTGGTGTAGTGATCGACGAATCCTGCAAGGACTTCCAAACAAAGGCATGCGACTGGGTATCTCTGAGGGAGTGAGGGATGGATCGAGCCTTCTCGTCAACCTGCTTTGAGACCCACTGGGAGAACTTACTCCCACGAGCTTTCACCGGGGCCTGGCACAGCCGGGCACAGCCGGGCACAGCCGGGCACGAACATCACAAACACTGCGGCCATCCCCGTCGTTTCTGTCATACGGCCACCTGCCGGCCTCGCAGGTGGAGGCCATTCTGCGCTGAAAGGGGGACGGCGGGCGATAAGATGCCTATGAGCCGCAAAACTGCCTACAGGAAGCGCGAGTAAAGAAAAGTGATTCAACACTGCGAGTCGTGTGACAGAGACCCACGCCGATGCCGCTTGCAACCTTGAGCAGAGCACGGGCCCCGGGTTGTCTTTTCGAAGGAACTGGAAGAGCCCGATTTGACTATCTTCGACGTGGTGTTGGCATCCAGAAATCTAGAAAGCTTGAAGGGTGAATCAAGACACGCTTCACTGCACACGGCTGTTGTTGATGGCAAGGGCATCAAGCGCGAAGCTTGGTGTGTGACTACCCTGGACTACCGGCATGGTGCCTAGCCATCACAAGTGCATCCGAATGCACAGTCTACTACGAAGATTTGGCTTCAGAACGGCTGGCGCTGCAAGGTCAGAAGTGTGCCGGGATCTTGGGCTTGAGAAGGTCGCCCTTCCTCGTTGAGCTCCTGGTAAAGTGGTGATAAGTGGTGCACAGGACAAGGCAACATGAGTCACCAGGGGTCTGTGCACTGCCGAGGCACCGTGCCAACCACATAACGTTCAGGAAGTCGGAAGAACGACCCATTGCAGCCAGGCCCAAGTTTCCCGTGTTGGGCGGTGTCCTGAGCGCGGGCCAACTGGGCCGAGGTCGTGCACTGCTCCAACTTACAAAAGGAGTATCGGAACCACTTCGAAACACCATGCCAATGCTGCACCTTCAACTCCCTACCTGACAAGAACATACAAGAACTAACTAGAGCCGAGCTACGGCGGCGCATATCGCCTCAACTTTCCTCCCCATTTCCCGCGGAACGTGCGCCCTGACACAAACTTGTAGATCGCTTTGGCATAGTGCTTCCGCAAATTGTTCAAGCCTTGGCATGCTGCGCACTTGAGAGCAAGGCACGTTGACACACTCAACCCCGTACTGTATGGTCCTATAATGGGAAAGCCAGCGCACTGGGTGGCAGGATGAGGGTGCGCTGGAACTGCTTGAGGTCGCGGGCGTGGAGGTCATCCTTGCAATCCACGGTGAAGAGCAGCTTGGCCAAGGAGTTGCGGTCCTCCAAGTTGTTGGGGTTCTGCACCCAAGACAGGTTTCCCGCGCCGAGTGCCTCCGTCACGATACGGTTCTTCTTCTCCGTCTCGAGGACGATGTAGAAGTTACATCCCGCGCGTGCATCCTTGGCCAAGTGGAGCTGCGGCTCTTGCTCCATGGCCTCCACGTAGACCTTGCACTTCACGAGCCTCTCTCGGCCAAGCGCGTCTTCGGAATCCACGGCCTTGGCCTCCCAAGAGGCGGCGCCACTGGAGAAGACCACCGCAATGGCCTCCTGCCCGTCCACCTCCTGTGTAGTCCTCACCTGCGGGCGTCTGAACACCCCGGCTGCAGCTGCGCAATCAACATATTCAACATCAACGCAGCCAGAACGCGGGTGGTGGTGGGGGGGGGGGTGGTGCATGGGAGGGGGCGAGAGCGGAAACGCGTGCGAGCTACTGTGGGGTGCGACTACAACAGTGCCGAGTTCTAGCATGCCCAGGCATCCCAGGCCTCCAGGCTGCCGATCTTGTAGATGCGGAAGGCGATGCCATCTTCCGTGACCTGGTTGAACTCTGGCGCAGCGGCAGGGAGGACGTTCTCCAGCAGCCCGCGCTTGAAGGCCTCGTCCACCTCGAGCTTCTTCAGGCCAAACTTTGTGGGTGCCGTTTGCGCTCGGCCTTCCATCTCCACTTGGAAGCGCGGGGTCCAGGAGCGGGGGAAGTCCAAACCTGGGTTGGTCACGGCGAAGGACTTGTCGCTGAACTTCTGCCGGCGACGCTCACGCAGGGTCTTCTCCTCGCCCACAAGGCTGCGGACCTTGGTGAGGTACTCGAGGTTGGGGTCCGGCGGGATGAAGGCGTCGCCCTCCTCGACACGGTCGCACTGCGGCACGCTGTAGATGTTCAGCAAGAGGCTCTGGTCTTCCGGCTTCACGGCGAAGGACTTCTGCCGCAAGCCTTGCAGGAAGGCCTTGCCCAAAATGGTACGGGCCTCCAGCGAGTCTGGGCCTCCACTGCAGGGCGGCAGGCGGCCCACGAAACGCTCCTCCGTAGACAAGGAGAACTTGTCCAAGTTCAGGTCCACACCCTGTGGCATCTCAGGACGCTGTCCCAGCTGGAAGCGCTGTGGCATGAACATGGGCCGGCCGGACTGGGCCAGCTGCACCCCTGGCACACTCGGCTTCTGACCTGCGAGCGCGTGACGCTGGGCGAGCTCGAAGCGGTCGAGGCCAAACTCCACGCCGCCATAGATGGCCTGGAGGTTGCTCTGGCCGCCCGTCACCATGTCCACCAAGCGGCCTTCCTTCAGCTTGATGCGGGAGTTGCCACGCATGTTCCAGAGCTGCGGGATCTGAGGGTAAGGCTCCGGCTCCGTGGCCTTCACAATCTCGTCGGCCAGCCTATACCAGGTCGGGTCCAGGCGTGCCTTTGAGTCAATGAGGTACTTTGCCATGGTCGAGGCCTTGGCAAGCTCACGCAGGTGGAACACCACGCTCTTCCGCTCGGCGATCAGGTCGAAGTTGCGTGTGAAGGCGTCGGCGAACTTCTTCAGGGGGTGGTGAGGCAGCGTCACCGGGGCATCCTCCAAGCCCTTCTTCGTCACCACCTGCTCCCGGGCCTCGACTCCCATCTTGACGTGGGGGATCAGCGTGTTGTCCTCGGCCATGCGGATCTCCGCCTTCTTGACCACGTACCACTCGCGGCCTGCCCAGCTCTTGTCCTTGTCCTTCATCTCGGACCAGTCAAAGACGCTCAGCATGCCAACCACCTCAGCTCAAAACTCAAAACGCATCTAGCTCCATATGGTGCTCCATGATGACACTATATGACGCTCCATGCCGTGCAAAAGCCGACAGTGTACTCGACATGATGATTCCGCATGGCATCGTCGCACCTTCCAGCATTCCAGCCTCTGCGAGACCTCGTTAGGTTATGTTGGGTTATTATGTTGGGTTGGGTCCTCTAAGGCGGGCCGCGGGCATGTCGTACTCTCCGAGCGCAAGCTCCTTCAGGAAGTAGTCGGCCTGGAACATGACGTCGCCCACGCTGGTTCCCGCCAGCCAGCTGGGCTCATACACCTTCTTCTGCGGGGTCTTCTCCAGGTTCTGCGGGTCCACGGGGTCCAGCGAAAAGAGAGGCTCTCGAGAGGCCGTCTTACGGACCTTGAGTGCCAGGAGCAAGTACTCCAAATTCACCGCGCAAGACGGCTCAGCGGTTGCGGCGACCTTGACCGTGCGGGACGCCTCGTCCAACACCAGACAGCAGAGCCCCTGCGGCGCAGGCGTACAGCCCATGCGCTCGGCCAGCGGGGCACTCTTCGGCACGCTGTCCATGCGCCAGCCGATGTCATACTCGCGCCGGTTCTTCTCTTTCTTCACATTCTCCCGCTTCACCCGGGCATCCTCCTCGCGCTGCGCCTCCTGCGTCATCACCTGAGCCATGCACTCCGTGTGCACGCACGCCTGCTTGCCCTCGCGGCCCTGGTAGGCAAACTCCCCCACCGGCAAGGAGCAGCGAGGGCACAGGGGCACCTCCTCTCCCTGGGTATGCGAGCGAGGAACATTGAGACATGCGCACGTGTGCCGCGTTGTGCCGTCCATGCATATCACGTGGACAGAAAACATGGAGCGATATGCCTCCGAGTCGACCTCCCACAGCTTGTCTTTGGCAAGCTTCTTCTGCTTCGGCTTACAGGCAAGAGCTGCCTCCAGTGCCTCACAGGATGCGTGCAGAGCCGGGGCGCGGGCATGTGCACTTGATCCTTGAAGACTCTACGACTGCACGCAGCCTCTGTAGAAAGCTTCTTGCTCTTGTCCTCTTGTGGCTTTGGGTTGAACCATGGGAAGGCCTTTCGGCTGTAACCTGCGAAGGTCAACCAGGCTGCTGAGCTACACATGGGTTTGTCTTACACGTAGCAAGTGGAGCATGCTTTGTGCGTGTACACCTCTTGCGCATCCGGCCAGATGCTTGCTTGGTTGAGGAGGTTACTCTGCTACACACCTTCACCACATTCCTTGGCCGCCTGGATTTGAGCCATCTCGGCATTCGCCAATCTTGTCGATGTACTTTTGGAATGCCGATTCATCATCCTCGGACAAGCCCTTCTCTGGCACCTGCACTGAGACCTTGTGTTTGGAACAAATGAGCTTCATAGCTGAAAAGTCTGCAGACATCAGCCGCATCATTCTGATGTATGCGACAGACAATAGCAGCCGCAAGCTAAGCCCGGCGCAGGTGCCAGTGCTTCACTTACAAGAGCGGGAGTTTCAGCGCCAGATGCTGGACTCCTCATTGTTTAGACTCTGGTTGAGGCAGGGCGCTGCACACCACAACAGCATCAGTCATCATCAAGCGGCCAATAACAGACAAAAGTCTCAGAGGACATCTCAGCAATCTCTGCAGGCACCAGGTCGGGCATGGCGTCTGTACTCACCTGCAGATGAGTCGAGGAAAAAAAGATGCAAAGTCGCAACACAAAAGTTGTGGGACCTGTCAAGTTCGCGGCGCCTCAGAAGACTCCTCAGCTTGGAGAGACGCCCACTGTGAAAAGCCACGGCGTCTTGACTGCCGCGCCTGCAGGGAAAACATGCAGGGTTTTTTTGCGCAGGTGAGGAAGCTCTTAAGGTCGCTCTGCCCCCCCAGGACCTTGTTGTCTGCGTGGGTCTGGTCGGTCTTTATGAGCAGCTCCTTTCAAGTTCATGAATCCCAGCAACATTCCGAGCCCCGTCCATCTCCGTCCTTGCCACGGAGAGAAGGGCTGACCCAACCAGAAGCAGGCCCCTCGCCCTGCAGAAGCTCGTAGCAGATTCGCCCGTCGTGCGCGTCGATCTCCTGGATGTGAGGAAAAGCTGTCGTTTGCAGAAACCGCATTTTTGAACTTTTGAACCCAGACTCTTTGTCCTCATTGGCTGCAGGGGCAGACTACTGGAACCCTGCACATCGACCCAACCATCCGACATCCGCGCCCAGAAACTGTGGGAACAGAAGGCAAAATGCCAGGGCTGATTTACGTTCAGCCAATCCCCTCCCGCTGGCAGATCAAGTCCCCGCATCTCTGGCTGAAGCATCCTCATTGAACGTCCCGAACCGCCAAAAAAGAAGGCAAGCGCAAGCTCCTTCACCACAGATCCGGTGGCGAGTCGACCATCAGCCAAATCCGAGCTCAGATCGCAGCCAGTGCGAACGATGATGCCCCCGCGTTCTGACCCACCCACAACCTGCACCATCTAGAAACGTGGGGTACGGATGGGTACGGGGCACGCTCACATCGGCAGCACAGCTTTCATGCTCTTTCGGCTTTTAGGGATTGCGGATTCCTAGGTTGAGGAGGGTCAAGAACAAAGGTTCTTCAAGCTTTAGCACAGATGCAAGAACGAAGAACATGTCCGACCCCTCCTCCCACACGGCAGCCATCTCTAGAAATCAATCAGCGCCAGCTAGGAAACCCCGCAAGCTTGAACCAGAAGAAGCCCAAGGTTCATGGAGATCTGAGATGCACAGCGGTTAAGATACAGCTGATCATTGTAACCGTCACTGGTAGTGACGAAGCGCACACAAAATCTCAGAACGTTTTGCCCGCTCACAAACGCACTGCACATGCACCATTGCCTTTTGGATGCAATGACTGGTGCAGGGCTGCAGCAAACGCAACATTGAGATTGGCGAAGGACGCAGCAGAATGCAGTGTCTTGGACCTTGGAGGTAGCAAATTCAGCAAATGGCGAACCGAATGAGCTGCGCTATCGGATTCCGCTGGGCCACAATGCTGGAACGTTCCAGATCTCCTTGCCTTGGCCTACGAGCCCTTGTGTTCTCATGACCATCCACATAGAAACAGAGACCTTCGCAACCTTGTTCTTGTGAGCGCACTGGTGAGGATGAGGCGTCCGCCCGGTTCCAGGCCGTTCTCTCCCATATACCCTTGTGTGGCCACCGTCTTGCTCCTGCTCGGGGCGGCTGCTGTCCACGGCCGCTGAGCCCGCTGCGTTGCGGGCCGGCACGCTGGCGGTTGCCGCCTGTTGCCGCGTTCGACTCCATGGCCTCAACCCTTACAGCAAATGCCGGACATCACCAGGAAGATGTCGGATGGACGCTTCCTCCCAGCCGCGCGATGGCCTCGCCAAGTCCTGTCATCTGACAACCGCAGTCCAAGAACATGGGACCTGACAACAGACCTGGCATGCCAACTTTTGACGAAGGGTGCTCCAATGAGTGCACCACGGAGAGCTCCGAGGTCGCATAAAGAACTCCGTCGCGAACTGAGATGCGATGAAAATTCTGCCCTGGCCCACTGAAGACACGTGATAGTGACGGTGACATGCGTTTATGGACTTGCGAACGGACATGCTGCAGCTATGCTGTGCTAAGGCCTTCAATGACAAGCTCCCAATCTGTGTAGATGGACATTGCATCCAGAGGCTGCTGGTAGATGTTGCCATCCAAACCCGCAGCAAGTATTGCCTCAGACTCACATACATGTCAGGACTCACTCTCAGCGGAGTTCGCCACAGCCTCACCCCCGTTGCAAGCACAGGAACCAGACAAGCAGCCTTCTTGTGAATCGCAAGTGCCTGCACTTGCCCGCGAGACACTTCAGTCCAGTCAGCATCTATAGTCACGGACTGGAGTGGACCTGCAAGAACAACAACGGTTGCTTGCTGCAGTGTCCCATGTTGGCACGTCCACTTTGAACAACCGCAAGTTCAGCTCCGCCTGAGTGCTTATAGACTTTGTGGTCCGAGCCGACTGCATAAACCGCCTCCCTGTCAGCAGCCAAGTTCTCCTCAGCAAAGAGGACTGAGCTGACATGCCTGCACTTGTCCACACATGCGGCCATAGCGTGCGGAGTCAAGCCAAGAAGAGAGAGAATCATAAAGGAGAGACAGAGATAAAGGCAAAGAGCGAGAGACTGTGAAAGAGCCAGAGGCAGACAAGACAGAGACAGAGAGACTGAAGCTCGGCCAAGCGGGGTTGTCTGGAGGTGCCACAGAGGGTGGCATACTGGTAGATATATATATATATATACAGCCAAAATCATTTAAAACAGAAAGGAAAGAATCAACAACGAGTACAACACGGATACCTGGATATCTGAAGGTGGAAATGAAAATGACCGGGAGGGGGCCATCCAGGCCGATCCAGCGTCTGGGGTCTCCAAAAGGTGGTGAGGAAGAAAGTAGCCAATTGAGGATCCGTGGAATGCCTAGGCAGACAGTTTGTCACGGAGGCCTAGAAACACGATCAAAAGCAAAGAGAGGAGTTTTTTTCTCCCAGCCAGAATGAACACCTGAACAGAAGGGAACAAACGATGAATAAACCAAAAACAACGACGTCAGCAACAACGCAACACTAGCACGAACGCCCAAGCGTGCGAGGGCGAGAGCAACCGGCACATGCAATCGAACAAACCAGTAAAGATGCAGCCTGTTGTCGAACGGCCCAGCAGCGACCGTCATCCAAAGGTGCTGCAGAGTCCTCGCTCTGGATGCCACTGCCCGGAACAAGGCTCCAGTCTCGAAGAGTGCATAAAGGTGGTTCTGCTCCTGAGCTACACTCCAGCTTCTTCAAAAAACGCCGGTGGGGTTTAGATCTTAGAATTCGGGGTCCTCGTCGAAGATAGTCTGGGTCAGCACCACGCTAAGGCTGTCATCCTCGGCTCTGTTCGGCGTCTCAAGAGCTTCCAGGGCAGCAGCTGCCTGGATCTCACGAGTCTGCAGAAATCGGGTGCACACCTTTCGCGCATTCCTCAGCAACACATGCAGCACCGACGACTTCAGCGTGATGTGATCCAGCGGGCAAGGTGGGCACATCAGCCAAGAGACTCACGAAGGACGTACACCTCCGCCCTGTTCACGAGCACGTCACGCAAGCGAGGCAGCAGCATTGAAGGATCCGTGTCCACCAGCACGCCGTAGGAGCTGAAACGGATGAAGCCGTCAAAGGGTGGCACCCAAGTTGCATCTGCCATTGCTACAGGGATTCCGCCCGCGCAAACCACCTCGTTGAACCGGGCATCACGATCATCCGCGGTGGCAACGACCAGGTTGAAGATCGAGTTCCACAGCAAGAACTCCGAATCATACCCCGCATTCACATCATCCACTACGACTACGTTCGGGCGGTCGCGATGGAACGCTGCCACTTCAGCTGCCAAGGGCCGATCCTGAAAACTTCCCTTGAAGCTTATGAGGTAGCGCTTCTGTGTAAGAGGCTCCAGATAAGATCTTGATGCAGATTCGCTGGCACAGCGAGGAGTTGGTTCTGTCGGCATGGAAATGTCCACTCCGTATTGAAAGGCATCACGCCTGGCACCTAGCAATAGCCAGCTGTAGGTCTGGTCCTGGGATATTCGCGCACTGCCCCTGTCCAGCAACACCAGCATTTTGCCACGCAGGCGTGCGTCTGATTGCAGCTGCTGATATCCCTCATAAACTTGTCTTGCTCCACAGAGTCGGCCTGGAAAGGAAAGTGGCCTTGCTAGAGCATCAAGCGCAGAATAGCCTGGTACGACAACAACATGAGCATGCTCCAACTGGAGGGCCATGCAATTGGATGACACCCTCCGGAGGGAAAGGAAAGCATGATGCACCGTGCCCGCAAGTCCGCTCAAGAGGCATCCACGCAGCTTGGGCGCAAGAGCCTCTGCTTCTGTGACACTCATGATGTAGAACAGGGTCGGGACAGAGTCGGCAGCGGTCGCGCATCTGCCCACCTTAGAGGCATGGATGTCGCTACTTGAGAGGACAAAATCATTGATGCAGCGGCAACCAGAAAAGAGATGGACCCGAAACTCAGCGTCTGCACGGAGCACGGGTTTGAAGCCTCACGCTGTTGAAGATGATGGGTATGTCGTATCATGTGAGCCAAAAAGTTTTTGGCTATGTCTATTGCACCTGGAGCCGGGTTATGCTTGCAAGGTCCAAGCTTGCCAAGCCTAGCTATGGTTTCGCTGCGAGACTCTGCTAAACACAAGCAGTTCCGAAGCAGGCCTTGCCAATGACCACCAAGGGTACAGAAACTCTAATTGTAACAAAACCTTCAGAACACCGCAAGGCCCAAATCTTTGGAGGAATTCCCCCAGCTTGGGACATGCTGCCCGTGCACCCCAAGGCTGTCGGCCGACTCCTTCAGGAGCGCAGAGCGATGGCTTGCTAGAGACAGCTGCTGCGCCACTGACGCAGCTTGGACCTCCATAGTCCTCGTAATCACATTGGGGCTGACATGACTCACATGGCACCAAGCATGACAATCAGAAACCAAGCCTAGGGCCAGAAACCTCGAGAGAAAGCCCCGAAAAGCACCCAACGTAGAAAGTGGCATGGGGCAGTTTGCGTTGCATGATGAGGCTTGTCCTACGTGGGCGCTGTGCGGTTATGCTCGCATTGGCTGGGCTTGAGCTAGCAGCTACCAACTGCATGTAGCTGTTTCGTGAACATCCGCCTGAAGTGTGACCTGCATGCCTCCACTGCACGCTGGCGCAGCTGCCGTCGCGTGAACTCATCCACAGCACGCAACTTCACGATCAGGCTGGGGATGTCATCATCGCGAAAGCGCATGCCGTAGGACTCGAATGGTATCAATTCTTGTAAAGGTGGGATCCAATGGCTTGAAATGAGCACTGGGATACCACCAGAACAAACAGCCTCAGCAAAGTGGAAAGTTTGGAGCATGTCACCCTGGAGGATCAAGCTGAAGGTCGAGGAGAATAATAGTTGCTCGTAGTCATAGCTGCCATCCAGCCGATCTACAATGACAACATCGAAATCATTGTGGTGGAGATTCGCCAAAGCCATGCGCACCTGGCTGTGGCGTAACTTGCCCTTGAATGTGGCAAGGTACCGCTTCGCGTCCAGGGATTCCCGCATGGCATCTGTGGCTGTTGGATCTGCGCAACGTGCCAGAGGCCCTGGTGGGAGCGAGACATCGACACCTGGCCGGTGAAACCACACAGGTGCTCCAAGACGCAGGATGACGATGCGAGGGTGACTGTAGAGGCTCAGATCAGGCAACCAAGCCTGCTGCACGCTACCAGAGCCATCGATGATGGCCACAGTTTTGTGGGAGAAGTCTTCAGCCTCCATAATGCGTCTGTAAGCGCCCATGGTCTGCTCATCATAGCACACCCTGCCGGGTCGGAAAATGGTTCCTTCTGCATCACAGTCACCCCCATACTTCGGCCAATGGCAATTGTGAAAAGTGTAGCCAGGGATCACAACCAGAGGAGCCGTGGCCAGTTCACTTGCACACGTGCTCGAGGCGAGGCCTCTCCTCAACACCTCCGCATACTGCAGCAATCGGCACTCCGCCAATTCGGGTGCGTAGCTTTCCGCTATGCCTGGACTAACGACATGAAAGGTACGCTCGCAGATCCACGCAAGTGCGGCATGGGCAGCACAAGATAGCAACGCAAGCCTTTGAGCCATGTGGCTGGATGGCAGTTCATGGCAGCATGTTGCAGATCAAGCCGCCAAGCCACTACTCCCGTAACACACTCAAGGAAGCCACATGCAGCAACGACCGCATCTGTTTCGCAACAAGAAGAAATTGCAGTTCAGGTACACAAAAGGCAGCTAACTTGTGTGCTGTGAATTCACTGTGATCATCGGACAGCCGCCAGGCGCTGCTAGCCAGCTTGTCCTTGCCTCCGAGTTTGTTCTCAGAGCCGTGCAAGGTGGGACAATCTGGGAAACAAGAAGTTCCTACAAAATTATGCATTGGTGTAAGATCGTACGGTAGACTCACGCACTTGCTTCTCGAGATCAGAGCGGGGATCACAAGCGATCACTCTGTGAAATGCCTGTTACTACGGGGTCGGTGCGCTGCTGTCGCGCTCCCAACCCTCCAAAGAAATAGTCGGCACCGAGCCGCCGCCGTACCCAACCCTCACTGCCATCTCTAGCATGAAGAAGAGAAAGGCTACAGCCACGGTCATCGAGATGCTGCCACAGCCTGAAACCCACGAGACCGTGCAAAACACACAAGGAGCTGCTTCTGCATGCAGCCACATGTCAACGAAACCCAAGGCACACTCGAGTCTGTCTTCTCCGCTCTGTTCCCATTGATGAAGCTGAAAGGGTTGAAGATCCTGGACTTCCTGAAACGCCGGGCACAGAAATATGCGGTCGCGAACGGCGGGACTTGCACACGATTCAGCACATTCCCGATCTCAGCTTGATGTAATTTGCCGATACTGCAAGAAGCGGCTGGTGGGCCTACGCTAGTACCGCGACATGCTGATGCAGCTATGCGCTTTTTTGCCGCCACAACTGGCCGAGGCACAGTTCACGGAGTCCTGGACCAACCCTCGACATGGTACCTGCCAAATTTGTGACCTCAGCTTGCCGATACGTTCATGCCCCACCCCCTTCTTCATACACCCGAGTGAAAACAGGGCTCTCTCATTGGCCACTAGACAATGCCATTGCTGTGACTTGCAGTGGAGATGTGACGGGCGGTCTGCGCACAGAGTGCGCTTTCTTTGTTTCGCAAGCGCGACAGATGTTACACTTGAGAGCAGGGCGAACGAAAGACATGATCCCGACGGTGGCACGCAGGGGACTCTTTGGCAGTCAGCCCGGCCGATAGTTTGTGAAACGCGGTGCGTTCTGGAAGTTAGGCTTTGCAGGGTTTCGACTCTCGCGCTCGCTCAAGGCAGGCAAGGCTTCAGTTGGGAGGTCTCATCTGGTGAGCGGGGTTTAACTCCTCGGGTTTACCGTTCAAAGACCACGTACGGTGACATGTTGTCATCAAGAAAGGGGGGGTTGGGGGGGGTGCCGCCTTTTTCCCTGAGACACCAGGAAGAAGCACACTCTAAGTAGCTCCAAGACCAGAAGGTTGTGAGCAAAAAAACTGCAAGCTCCAGGGAGCTAGCTTTCGTGCATTCTGCGAAATGCCATGCCCCAAGCCAGGAAAAAAAACCTGCAACTCGATTAAACTCGGCAGCATGTCAGAAACGAACCCAATGGTCTGAAGCGATCATGCTTGCAGTTCCCAGCATGGTGACACATGGAGTGCTTGAGCATGAACCCGGCGCGCAACAACCTCTCTCCCTCTCTAGCGACGCTCTGCTCTGACACTCAGGAGCCAACCCAGGAGGGAAGCTGACCAACCCCAAGAAGTTGGCACAGCTCGTCACTGAAGTGACAGCAATTCTTGCTGAGCACATCGTAGTCCTGGGCTGAGACATGCCCAAATAATCACAATTAAGGCACGGGTGGCTGTCAAACTTATGATCCCTTTTGGGGTACCCTAAATATCAGGAGCCGTATTATAATATGGGGCAACCGCAATGACTCTTCGGTCTTCTCTCAGTTTGCAAACAGGGGGGTTTAGGGTTTCGGGGCTATGCCACGCGAATCCAAGTAAACTTCACTGTCAAGTGTCTCGACCACGCCAGCGTTTAGCCATCTCGGCAAGAATCATCTGAACTTCGAACGGCGAGAAGTCTGTGAAGCCCATGTGAATCGCCTCTTCCGAAGTCATCGGTTCGACACCAGCTACAAAAGCCAACAGTCTTGGTCATTGCCGGGCTATCTCCTTGTTGTATGCAGACTGGGGGGATCAGCCGCCCAAAGCCAACAACCGCTCAAACTGCCAGATATATCAACCGCCCTTTTGCAGCAGACTTTGGAAGGTCACCACCCTAGACCCTAAGACCTAAGATACCCTTGGTGATGTGCCTCCCGGTACGAGTGTTGCCCGCACGCCGCTGGCTGATTCTCAAAGATTCCAGGGCCTCTCGCCGTCTGCCCATAGCTCCACTCCCTGCAAGGAGCTATGCAAGAACATTAGCGGAATGAAAACACTGGCTGCAATTAATTCGGTCTGGAAAACCCATAGATCCTCGTTGTGGTTCACGGCCCCGTTCTTCCGGTACCAGAAAAGGACGCTACACAGACCGGTCCCGGCCGCCTTCCATGAACTTCCACGGCAGCGTGGAAGGCTCCGGTGCCCAACGGGCGTAAGACCTGCCGAAGGACGTCTATCATGAACCACCCTCGAACCGAGGGCCTAAGCAGTGACACTCGCGCCTCATTAACAACCTGCACGGGCGCTGTGCCGGTAACATCCTTGGCGAAAACGCACATGCAGCATCCGAGAGTACAAGGCACGCGCTTCTCGGGCTGCTGCATAGATGTGCACGATGACCGGCGATGGCCCAGTGGCAGGGCAGCAAAGATTGCCCATCTTCTAAAGGATGAGCGTAAGTAAGACGAGCGTTCACCGCTGCGGCCGAAGGCTTTGGGCACGAACGGCTTGCGGAGTAAGCAGCAACTTGAACTTGGGATCATGTGCACAGCTCCCCTCTTCTGTGTAGACGTACGACTCAAACAATTCGCGGAGTCGACAGAACACAGCCTAGCCAGACTATGCACAGTGGTGTGGTGCAACCGCACTCTGAAACAACTCAAGATTAACACCTTGGGTTCCTGCGAAGGTCCGCGACTTCTTGCTGCAGGGCGAGCTTCTGCACTTGCTCTGCCTAAAAAGGTCTGCCCATCGGCTCGAACCCATTTTTCACCCTTGTGGCCTGATGGCGCTAAAACAGCGAGTACATAAAAAGACACAGCATCATACTATGTCTTCAACTGTCCTCATCAAGATTGCTCCGCATGGCGCCTCGCAAAGCTCCTTCTGCCCACGCACCAGCTCAGCCTCCATAGACAGGACCTTGCTGGAGAGTGTCTATGAGTAAACAGAACTCTGACAGGAGATGTGAAGCGGCACAGCCCTTACGAAACAAGTGACCCGGCCGTTTGCCCGCGCATGTTTTCCGAGCTTGCCGAAGCATCCCCGAAAGAGCTTGCTTCTAAACTGGGGCAAACCTAAGCATCCTACTCCCGCGAATTGCTGGAAACTGACGGGATTGAAACTTTGTGAAGATATTTCGCGTGTCAGATCTCGACTGCAGTCGGCACAGGAGCCCAAGGCAAGAAATCAAAGGAAGAGTGCCCGGTCGTCCTGCAGAACATGCACGTTTCGCACATGTCCCACGCGACATCAGTTGAACCAGGCCTTGTCGAAACATCTCCACGAGCATCCTGCGGAGAAACATGCAGGAACCTGAGATCCCGGCAGCCGAACGGGCTTAACGGGTTTAACGGTTTAAGGCCTCGGGCAAGGCACTACGCCAAGGCCAATGCTGAGCCAAAGTGCCGCAGGCTCACAAGTACCAGAACCGCGGCCAGAAACAGATCGCACGAGCTGTGCCAACCTTGACGCAACAAACATGCCCATCTTTTCCGAAATCCTTCTTTTCGGATACTTGAACTTGGGAGGCTTCCACGAACACAAGCTGGATAGCACCATGTGAAGGTTTGGCGGAGATCATGACAATCGTGCCGCCCGGGCACAGAACGCACAGAACTCCTTGAACTCCTGCATGTCCAGAGGCCAGAGAGGCCGAGCGTGGCCGAGGGGCTTGGCTTTAAAGTCGCCTGGCGCCTCCGATAGGGGCAAGCTGCGGTAGAAATCAATACAGTAGAACTTTCTCCACAGTGGGCTTGCACCCGGTGAATGGGTTTGGGTTGTGCGGGAGGCCGTCCTCGGTACTGATTGTTTTTGGAGCAACCTCGAGCTCCTTCTTCAGGAACTCTTCAAGGTCTGTCCTGAGATTCCAGTTTATGTCCAGAAACGCCCTTTCCCTAAGGACAACAAGCCTGCGATCGCTAAACCCGGCGTCCAGGCCCTCGATAGTCAAGCTGCGCCATCTCCCGTGTGATGCCTCCACTCAATCGGAGACTTGGACAAAAAGTTGTCAATGGCAGAATGGCGCTGCGCACACTTTTTGGACATTGTATGTTGTGCACCTGTCACGCCAACTTGCATTCCACTGTGGTAGATGGCCACCTGTGGGGGGCAACATGGAGGCAGCAGGCGCGTCCGTAAAACGACCTAGAACTTCTGCATTGGCACAAGGCCCGTCCGAGCAGTGTCTGGGAAGCAGGCCATCGGGTATGACGTCACCCGCTGCTCATTACAAAGAACTTTGTCCACGGCGCAATCAACCTGCCGGAGCGACGCTGCCCCTCGTAGAGGGGATGCGCCCATGGAACTTCGGGGGGAAACTCACCGAGGCCACAATCCCATGGAGCCCTGTCAAATTTCGCAGGGGGCAGCGCTGGCCTGCGCAAACCGCACCCTCACCACTGAAGGGTCCCTGTTCAACCTTAGCTCGAAAGATTTACCATGCCAATGCCTTACAGCCTTACAGTACCTTGGCTACAGATAGACTAGGTGCAACGTGTGCAACTCACCTGAACTTTCACCGAACCCACAAGGTGTGGAGGCTGTCGAGAAACTGACCTTGCCACCGTTTCGCCGCTTCTGAAAAGATTGGCTCCAGGTGCTGGCATGGCTCCCACCATCTCGGGCAAAAGGAAACCACCCAATGCCTTGTGTGATTCTGGAGGCCGACTTCAGCATCACACGCCAGCTCCACAACAAATTCGACAACACTCGGCCACAGCCATATCTCCGATGGATTCTGATGGCATAGGTTGGGCCACTCTTTCGACTCTTTGCTGCCCAGATGCTCCACCCCACCTCCCATCGGATGCCTGGAAACAAGAGAGAGGAGAGAGAGAGAGAGAGAGAGAGAGAGAGAGAGAGAAAGAGAGAGAGAGAGAGACAGAGAGAAAGAGAGAGCAAGCAAGAGTGAGACGAGCGGAGGAAGTGGAAAGAGAGAGAGAGAGAGAGTGGGCGAGCCGTTCGGGAAATGTCTCAACGCCCCTGCAGCCCATATGCTTCAGCGAACTTCACTCATGTAATTTTCACTCCCCGGCTAACTGGGGGTGCTGCAATGCGTTCCACGCGAAGATATACCGATTCAGGTAGGTAACATCTTGGAGCACTTCCCGTTGCTGCGCTTTTCCTGGCACTGTCCTGCATGCCCAGATTGCATGCCGGAGTGGGAAAGCTGCAGGACGCCATTGCCGTCCCTCGCACCTTCCGCTGAGTCAAGATGCTGCCCTCTGCTGCTAGAAAGAGTCCTGACTGGAGCTTCTTGCGGCATCGAGGTCACAATTTGCGGCGTCTCCCTCCCAAGCACTCGGCACAGCCTTGCATGTGGGCGGGGGTGTTCCACATACGCACATGAGTCGATGGGATGCAGGGTCCATGTTGCGGCCCGGGCACGTGATTCCTGTGAGGAACAAGGCTTGGGCCGCCATGGCTTGAGCAGGCTTGAGCAAGCCAAGCACCTGCTTTCAGGCCCTAAGGATTCTAAGGATTCTAAGATTCTAAAGGGTGATACGAGGCCCAGACCGGAGCTGCATCATTGGCTGCTTGAGTCTTGGGCCAAAATGATGTCAGCCGAAGGCACGCACCTGTTAAAGCGCACTTCCGGCAGCACCTGCAGGATGATAGAACAGTCCCAGCATCTTTGTGCCAGCTCATGGTTGTCACGATGCTCGTCTCAGTTCCTGATCAGCATACTTCGCAGTCTCGCGCATGAGCCCCAAACAGTGTGGTTCCTGCCAGGATGACTGCAACGCCCTTGATTGGTAGAAACGGGGTTTATGTTCCAGAGTGGCACTAGCCCTGACCAAAGCAGAGTCCTGCCACGGGCAGCCGGCAAAGTGCCGCACAAAGTCGCCTTCCCTCCACTCATGCGCAGACCAATCCCTCGAAGCTGGCGGGACGTACGCGTTCAAGTGGGCCTCACTTGGTACAAACATTGTCGGCTCCCATGATTCCCATGGTTCCCTGGATTAGGGTCCCTTCTGGGGTTCCTATTGTACGTCTATGCATCGTCTACGCTTGTTCGTCGAAAACTCGTGGCAGCTTGTGAGATCTGCCCGCTAAGGCGCCTGGTGGACTACGGCAACCTCTGCCGGCCAGACATAGTCTGCTTGCGGCAGGGTCTGCTCGGGTAGCTCAGCCAGCAGCCCAGCTTTGAGAATCTCCCAGAAGAACATTGACTGATCCCAAGCAACAGCAAACTGGCTGCTTGCAACTTGCTCTAGAAATGATAAAGTCCACTCGCTCCGGCGGAACAGAAGTGTCCTTCAGGGACAATTTCGCAGAGCAGTGTCTCGCTCCAATGCTTCTTTTCGCCAATGTGAGGTTGGATATCCGATCCCACGTGAGTTGGCATGGTCACGCTTCCACTTGCAACCTTCAGTGGCGCAGCCTCAACTTGTGAACCCTTGGGCTCTTTGGGCCGCTTTTGGGGCCTCTCTGCTTGTTCGTCTGCCACGTGTGTGTGTGTGTGTGTGTGTGTGTGTGTGTGTGTGTGTGCGTTCAAGTCCCTCAAGCCCTGTCCCTGTGTTGATGCCACCTGGATCTTCCGCAACCAGGAAGTGGGGGCCTGCCACTCCACTGGCCCCGTAGGTCTCAAGAATATCAGGCAGGCTCGTTTTTGAATCTGTGAAGAAAGCATCGCAGTCGATGAAGAACACCCAGTCGGGTGGATTTGCTGACAGAAACGCCTTGGACTTGCGAGGCCCAGGAGGTGGAAGCTGCACGCTGCTGCTTCCCTAAGCTACTTCCTGGCAATCCCTAGCATCTGCCATGTGCTTCCATGTGCTTCCGTGTGCTTCCGTGTGCTTCCGTGGTGCCTGATGGATTACCAGCATCTTGCTGTAGTGAGCTTCTCGGTCCGGAAGCGGCAGTTCTTCGTGAAGGACGTACTTGTAATTATGATGTTCCTGAAAGCAAGCAGCCGCGTAGGTGTTGATCAATCTGGAGCTTTCCGATGCAGCAAGGGATCCGAGTAGGCCCTGTGGTTCGGAACAGAAAGTTCCAGCAAAGGGCAGTTGGCGCCTGTCTGTGACGTAGGATCTGGGCCTCGGCAGCGTGTGGAGGCGTAAATCTTCAGCTGCCATTTGGTGGCTCTTGTGGCTCCCTCATGCAGACTGGATGCCAGCGAGCAACGGTAATTGCAGATCGAGTGCACTTCAATGCGAGGCTTGGGGGCAGTTCCCGGAAACCTGACCTCATCTGGTTGCACTCAGCTTCCCCAAAATTCATGCAAGTCGATCTACTGACAATCTGTAAGGTGCATCACGTGCTGCCCTGCGTCAATGGCACGGTGCGGAGTCTGCAGCCCAGCATGAAGCTGGGTCACGGCAATTGTGTACTCAACCTCGCCGCCAGTGGGTCATGCCCATGCCGCACCAGTCCAAAAGTGCCAAGTCGTTGCACTGCAGGCAAGAAGCTTGAAGTCGAGGTTCGAACCTCTTGCCACGACCGTCCCCATCTTCAGGCAACGCGTTGTACCAACGAGCCATGGCCTGCTGTGGCAATGAACAAGCGACTCAGTACACAAAATGAACGGAAGTCACATGCATAGAAAGGGAGCGCTTTCATGTGAACTCTACCTGGATCTTGAAGATATTCCCCAGCTGCATCAAACGACGCGCACGGCTAAGATGTCCGCAGGCTAGAGCCTTGGGTCATCTGCACATCCCTTCATTTGCGCTTCTGCACGCCGAGCCGCTACGAGTACATTGCAGGACAAGCCGCTATTTCTGCCACGAGCTTGAAATGCTTTGCCGCTTGCACCGGGCACGAGTATGTACTTTCCAAGTTCTTCATGAGCATGCCCAAACCCTCCAAGCCGGCCATGAGGGCAATGAGCTTGCTGCCAGCACCAGGATTGTAATTTGCCGACCTCAGCTTCAAAGGGTAGTACCAAACTGTGTCTTAATCCTCGAAATGTTGAACATGTTGACTTTACTGCCTTGGCAGCATCAGAACTAATCAGCTAATCATCGTCATTATTGCATGTCTACACCGTCTCTCCACACGGTTGGACGCACTGCGCCCTTTCTGCTGTTGCAAACATATGGACGTAAGCGCATGACTGGACACTATGAGAAGCGAAACTCCCTGCCAAATGAGAGTAGATTCGTTGTCCTGACTCTTTGATGTAGCCACCAAGCCAGTTGGATTTAGCCGGTTGTTTTTGAAAGCTTTTGCTCGCTTGTGCTCCTCCTACTGTCTCATGCTGCATGTGAGCCCTCCAAACACAAGGAAACACCGGGCTGCGAGTGCTTGAGGCCCTCGCTGTGCCTCGAAGAAGTGCGACTGTATTTGGGTCCAAAAGCTCCTTAGGATGCATCCACACCACTTGCTCCACGGGCTCATAAACCCCATTGCGGTCAATCTGACATATGGGATCCTTTATTTGGGTTGAAGTGGCCTGAACCAAGCGATACGGAGCCTGCCATTATTTAGAGAACGCACTGGGTCAGGAGTCACTGGCAGCATAGCTGATACCCCCCACCCCCGAAACGATCCTCCGTCGCTTTTTTCCGGAGAGGCGATTTAGCATCAGGCAGAATGGAAGGGGTTTGTTTAGAAAGCACACCGAAACGCGTTGGAGTGCTCAGGGAAGGCATCAACATGCGTCAAGTTGCAATGATGCAGCAGTCATCCCTGGGCATTCTTCCTGCACAATTTGTTGTGCCACAATTTGGAACGGACCTCAATTGGAGAGCCAAAGCAAGTATCAATGCTCGGACTCTTCGTTGTTGCTTCCTGCCTTTCGGGAGCACACAAGAACCGACTGCTACTAAGGCTCTTTGAGCATCACCTGGACTGCTCTGGCCTTGCAAGGCCGTGCTTAGGACCCATGACATGTCCCTACTGTTCAGCTCCGCACAGCTCAGCACAGGAACGACTGCCAAGACTGAAACAATGGTGCCCAGACACCTGCTATGCAGGGCAGCCAAAGCACCAGGCAGAGGCAGCGCCATGGCTGGCGGCAACGCATTGTTTGCATACCATACCGTTCCGTCACCACGACCAGTAGCCACCAGGACTCAAATTGTAGGGTGGAGCATGCGCATTGCAGTCTAACAACATCACTCCCCTAACCCGCTTTAACATCACGTGCGCAAGGCGATATTTCAAACATCCCGCATGATCAGCTTGGCGCAGCCAAGTGGAAATAAACATGGGAGCCCTTGCAAAGCTGCGAAGAGCAAGGTCGAAGATTCCTTTGAAAAGCCCCTTCATGCCGCCTTGCCGCCTTGCATGACATGGCACATCATGGCATATTGGCACACACACGTGGCTCTCAAAGGCTCCGGGCTAGCTCGCGCTGCGCCTCCAGCTCCTGCCTCTGCACCGCGTGAGAACGAGAGCGACAACGCAACGCAACGCACCGCAACGCAGCGCAACAAGAGCAACCTCAGAAGCGGATGATTGCGCGAAACATGTGTGCAAATGAAGGCAAATGCAGGGAATCATGGCAGTGTGGCGTCAAGGCAACCATCTGGGCTTGGCCAGCCTCGGCCTCAGGCCAGATCGGCTGAGCCAAGAAATCGAACCGTGGCATCGGAAGCCTCCTTTGACAACCTCTGGCATTCTTGACGAGCTTGTTGAGCCTCTGCCTTTGGATTCTACTAGCACAGCCAAGGTAACACATGCTGCAAGCTGCAGAAGTGAGATTGCCCAGCCTGCTCCTGCCCACACTGTCTCTGCAAGTCTTCGATCTGAAAAAGGCGATAGCAGGCAAGGCACTTAGTAGGCACTTAGTAGGCACAAAAGCCCTCTTTCTTGGGTAAAGATGCCTAGGTGAACCCCTTTGTGCCGGCCTGTCGCTCCTGCAGTTGCAGTCTTTGCGCTGCCTCGGAGGATGCTTGTGACTCCTGAGCCTGAGTTCAAGGTGAATCATGGTGAATTCCGAATGCAACACGCTGGGCCGCACTTGATGATGGCGCTGCTGAGTCTGTGACAAGTTCCTCCTCCAGCTCTCGACTGCGTGCTCGCAGTTCGTCCGAATTGGCCTCTGAACAAGTGCTGCTGCTTCAAGGCCGGGTTTGAACAGGATGCCCGTCCTCAAGTTCGGTGTTGCGCGCTTGTACTCGTGTGAGCTGTACCTGCTTGCTGCGGCAGGATCTTCAAACCCCAAATGCACACGACTGGCAACGGCACTTTGTCTGCCATCAGTTCGGCTTTCAAGCTTGCGACTTCGGCTTGCACTGCCACCTGGCACAAAGGGTGTGTTTCTATGCTTCCACAAACTTCGCCGCGGCAATTTGCTGGCCAGGTACGAGGGGTGGATAGGCAAAGTTCAGAAACCGGCCGGAGACACAAACTTTCGTTCTGCCTCCTTCATGGCAGCCTCGAGTTGTTTTTGTCGATAAGGCAGTGGCTGCGGCCCCTCGTGGGCATCCAAGGCGTCTGCAATCAGTTGCCCATTCTCCAAGCGCAGCTGGTCACTCACCTGGCTTCCAGTCATTTGTGTGCACACGACTCATTCCGAACTGTTGGGGGTCCGCGCGATGCTAGCATGCTTTGTCCCGCGGCGGCTGTCTCCTAGAAACTGGCCCCTTGTCCTTGCCGACTTTCATGCTGGTGCCCTTTAAGCTGTGCACTCTGTGCTCGAAAAGGCCACTCTTATGCCACAGAAAGCACGATCTCCATGGTGTGGCATCAAGAGCCGATGTCAGAAACTATTCGCTGGTCCGAAAGACTCTGCGAAGCGAAACTACTTATGCAATAATTCATCTCGCTCTCCCCCGGGTTTGTGGAATCAGCTGCAGCCATGACTTCAATGCACACAAAGAACATCCGAAACTGCCAGCGCACAACAGGCCCACGCGTGAGGTTGCAGCTCTTTCAACAAACTGAAGAGAGTCCTGAATTCACCGTTAATTTCGCAGGGTCACGTTCTTATTCAGGTTGTCGCATGACGTCTAAGCGTCTACGCATGTCGTGAATGCTAAGCCACCGTGGCGAAAGACGGTATGCTGCTACAATACTGACGACATACTAGGTGATCTCTGCGCTTTGGAGAACCAGGATAAAATCTCGATGCGCCATGCAGCACGCTAACATTCAGCAAAGCCCACAAGTGCTGCTGCTGCTGTAGCTGGCATCAAACTATGTCTCAAACCAGGTCACTCACGGGCGGTTTCGGCCTGGAGTCTAAGCCATGGTTTCATTAACTGACACGTCTGTTGTGTCCCGCCGAGCAATCCGTGTACGGCCTGTCGGCTGAAGAAAGCTGGTGGCGTAGGATCCTCATGCGCCCATCGGGCCGCATCCGTGCGCCGCGGCTTCATCAAGCATTTACGCGACTCGCCAAGAAGAGCAAAGCTGCAACCAGCGCCATCAAGAACAGATTGATCGTCCACTTGATGGCATCTGCCCGACGGTGCTCCTTGATAGCCTTGGTGGCGAGTCTTTTCTGGATCTGGTTCTTGACCATTTTGCTTCTTGACTTCGGCTCGGTGGTCTTGCCTTGCTCGCGGCTCTTCTCCTGCAATTTGGGGCAAGTCGAAGGAGTGCCGGCCGTTGGCTGAAACACTTTCTCCGATTTATCCACTTCCGGCTTCTGCAACGAGGCCTTGGACTTGATTGTCTTGCCTTGGCGCTTCTTTCCTGTGTTTTTGCCTGAGGAACTTGACTTTGATGCCTTGCCAAGCGCCGGCACAGCCATTGCAGAATGCTGCTCGGTCTTCTTGTCAATAGACTCGTCCCACTCCGTCTGACACTCTCTGGGTACTCCTGGCACAGGGGCGACCTCCTCGTCCAAGGAATCCATGCGAAGGATGTCTGACATGGCAGCCATGTGAGTGCTCGGCCTGCCTTGCTCTTCTTCCCTTTCTTCCCTGCTCAGAGTCCCCCCAAGCATGTCTGGGGTGCCTGCCGTGCGACCACTGGGCAGGAGTACCTCCTGATCGGTACTTTGAGTGCAATCGCGCTCATCCGTGCCAGGGATGTCCGAAGCCATGTCCGACATGTCCGCGATGAGATCGCTTGGCCTGCCGGTCTCTTGCTCGCTCGCAATGTCACAGGCATCCAGTTGTGGCCAGTCGTCGAAAATGCCCGTCGTATGACCGCTTGGCCTGCCCAGCTCTTGCTCACTGCCGTCATTCTGGTCACAGGCATCTATGCTTTTGGCGACTTCGATGAGCTTCTTGTTCAGCTGCTCATGTGTGCTGGCCTCAAACCGTTTCTGAGTTTTGCTTCTGAATCCTCTGTGCAAGTCACGATACCACAAAGCTGGGCTCCAGACAAGCTCTTGAACCTTGTCCTGCACCTGCCAGGAACGAAAGCGCGCGGTGCGCGTGGCACAAAACCACACGAAGCCAGCATGCTGCACAAACCAGTAAACAGACGAAACAGGTTGCACGTTTCAGGGTTTCAAGGTGTATTTGGGCAGCTTAGAGGTTTAGAGCGGTGTATGACTCAGGGTCTTCGGGTTTAGGCTTCGAACCGCTGGCCTTGTGAGGGGCTGGCTCGCGATCACTTGGCACGCTGAGCTCTTGCTGGATGCTTTCGATGCCACGGTCACAGCCATCCAGGCGTCGGCTTTCTGAAGTACCCTGCGCGCTTGGCCCGTCCAGCTCCTGCTGGGTGCCCTCATTGCGGTGGCACGCATGCATGTGCTGAGTTTCACAAGCTGTAGCAGCCTCCTCAAGGGTAGCTTCGGCACTGGTCGAGTTTGACTTCTTGTTTTGGCGGCGTCTGGTGCCTTTCCTGCTCTTCCCTTCGGCGCCGATGGCCTCCTCGCCCCCCGGTATTCCCGGGCTCCGGATCGCATCGGCACCCACACCTGGGTCCGCCTTTGCCTTCCCAGTCGGGCCTTGCTTTGGGTTCCTGGGCTCCTTCTGCTTCTTGCTTTGGTCAAGGAGTGCATCCTCGAGTTGAAGTTGCAACTCGCAGCACTGGTGCTGCAAGACGTCGAACTTGTTCTGGATATCAGCACATTCGGTCTTCAAGCGATCTCTCTCGTCGGCCTTACTGCTGAGCTCCTGCACGCTTGCGATGTGCATGATATGGAGCCCTTCAAGGCTTCACCGAGCGAGAAAGGACAAGCAATGCAAGGTGCTCGGGGCTCCTCGCGAAGACACTCCTGCAAGCAGCAAGATGCGGCACGGGACATTTGCAGCTGTCTCAAGCATGGACGGAAATAATTGAAATACTGGTGCATGATTGCGCCGATGCTGCATCCTTCTTCAAACCGATTCGCAGCTTCACATTGTTGTAGTAGTCTCGCGCTGACTGCAGGTCCATGCTGGCCTGCACGTTCAACTGCTAGCCTTGTTGATAGTCGTTTCCCTCCGACTGAGTAGGGCCCGGGCAGCATCCAATTTCTGCGTCAGCTCTGACACTGCACCCTCCATCTGATCCACGCCCCCTAGGATGCAGTCGAGGGACCTTATACAGGGCATATCAGGGCATGTGGCGAACACCAGCTGCAGTGTCCCTCTCGTTGATAGCGCCTCTGGAGCCGAGGCGCTCGTCTCTTGTGGTGCCCATCATCTTCAATTGATCACGCAGCATGTCTCGTTCAGCATCGGCCTCTCCTATGAGATCTTTCAACTCCTTGGCCTCGTTCAAGGCGGCCTGCGTCTCGGAAGAATGAAGAGAGAACGAGCCATAACGAGCCCAAAGACAAGGACGAGACTACCAGAAGCACCGCACGACGTGCGTGGGTTTGCTCGCAAGTTGCCCTCGGTCCTCGAGCTTCTGCTGAGCTTCCAATCCATCATCACCATCGCACCACTTCCGTCTGCTCCAAGCTGGCGCTGAAGAGGAGCGATGTCGAGCTGAGCCCACCTGCCAAGGTCTCATAAGCTACTGAAAAAGCCAAGTTTATGGAGGTAGCAGAAAGGGTATGGGAACAGTTTTGCTTCTGCTTGCAGATCTGCCTTTACGAGTATTCGAGGCAAGGCTGTGGATTTAAAGCTTCTTCTTTGACATCCTTCCTTCTGCGAATTTCCACGGATTGTACTGAGGAAGCTGCCTCATCATCATCCTCACAGCACTCGATGAACGTGTTGCGCACGAAGAAGCTGCGAGGGCCTGCCGCACCTTTGCAGAAGAGTGCTGAGCTCCGAGCCACCGAGCGCACTTGTTCACGAAAGGTAACGGCTACGCAAGTGTGACCAAAGACAATTCCATCAGCTCCGCACCCTCGGAATCGGTAGCGGATGTAGAGCTCTCCACTTCAGCTGCCAGAGCCTCAACACGCAACGCACCGACACATTGCAGGACACCCGCCAGCATGTCAAGGCACTGGTTTACGTAGCCATCCACTGAGCGCAGCACGTTCTTGTGTGTCATCGGGCTCACATCCCCACACAGCATCATCACCCAGAGTCCCTCAAAGATGGCTCTTAGGGCCCGACAACAAGCCAAACTGGGATAGACCAAGATGAGGCCAAATGGCTGCGTGATGATTTTGTCCGGATGACTGCATTGCTCTGTACACCAAATGTGAGAGAAACAGCCACACCATGGTGGGGATGGGGAGGGGGGCGGACGCCATCTCGACTGCTGCAAAACAACGCCTCTCTTTCCTTGGCGACTTCGATGAACTTCTTGTTCAGCTGCTCATGCGTGCTGGCCTCAAATTCTGAATCCTTGCGCAAGTCATGATGCAATCACACTGGGCTCCAGACAAGCTCTCGAACCTTGTCCTGCACCTGCAAGGAACGCAAGCGCGCGGCGCGCATGGCACAAAACCACACGAAGCGAGTATGCTGCACAAACAGCTATCTGCCTGAACTCTGGTCTCAACCAGCCTGCGCAAACATTGTCTTGGCGATGGAACAAATGTGCAACATGAAGCAACCCTCACAGGCAAGTTCAGCAGTGCGATTTCTATGCCAGTCAGCTGGTCGCTGCGCATGGTTTCGATCGGCCCCGTTCTTTGGAAGGCCTTTGCGAGTCTTATCGCCAGTTTGGCTGAAAGAGCCGCTGAAACAATGAATTATGCGTGGCTGAATCATCGCACTCCTGCAATCACGGCACACAAGATCTTGCCCTCAGATGAAGGCGCAGTCTGGCTGGCACACCACACCACACTCACTCCATACCCGCATGAGCCCCCGCCTCCAGGAGCGTTTCGGTCTGCGAGCGCTGTGGGAGCATGACAGGCACGAGCAGCACAAGCAGCAGCGGCAGGAATGCAGCCACACACCTGCAGAATGTCTGGTGCCTCTCTCCCGTGAAACGCTGCTCTCTACTGTGCAAGCAAGACGCTGCACTTTCCAAAGGCTCTGGAACTGCCGCCCCTCCTGCAGCGATCCTGTCAACCACGAGTTTTTCTGCGTCACGCATGTGCTGATACGAGTACCATGCCGAGATCTGTCGAGCCTGTAGGTGACACCCCACTGTGTGTGAGAAGAAAGCCGCCGATGTAGGAGCCTAGGGCCATCTGTCAATGCATGGGCTGCTGTGAGCAGCACAACCCGCCCCATTCGATAACCTGATTCATTCTCAGCAGTTCTGTGTGGTTAGATGGGCCGGCGCAAGTATATCACGAGCACTTACCTTGAACCATGCAGGAGTGTTCGGGGGCCCCTGTACTAACCTCGTTGTGCAACTACATTCCCAGGCATGCTGGCGGGGCACTGAGGATGGAGGCCATGTTGAAGGTCCCTGCATGTAGGCCGAGTGTCGTTGCTTCGACACCCCTAGGGGCCAGGTGTGCTGCCAGCACCTACGAGGCGGGAAGACTCGAAAAAGCTGTGGCCTGTCATGACTTCTTGCTGTGCCGACCTGTTTTGGAATCCAACGCCATGCTTGGACCATGCCTGTGATGAGCAACCGGCAGTCCACTACAAGCCAAGCCCAACAGCGTCGCCCAACACGCGCAGACGGCACTCAGGACAGGGCTGTCCAGGCCCATCACCACCAAAAGCCAAAGGCTATCTGGAATTCCCAAGGCCAGCGTCCAGCGGCAAAGCACAGGCAGCATGGCCAGCTGAGTGCATGCCTTAGAGTTGAAAGTGCTTGGTCCTACTGCTGCCAGCTGCCAGCTGCGCCACTCTGTGCAGGTTTGGCCCAGGTTTTGCCCATCCCACACAGTCCAACAGCTAAGAGGGTGGCAAGGAAAGACTGCCTGGAATCTGTTGCTTGTCGTTTCCTTTGCTTTGCTTGTCGTGGCAAGGCGCTTGTTTCGTGTTGCTTGTGCGCGAGGCGAGCTCACTCTCTCGCTGGGCGGGCTATGGTGGACCATCATGGACCATCATGGACCAACAACGCAGAAGGCCGGACAACAGGAGAAAATTCAAAAAAAGCAGGCTCCCAAACCAGCATGCCGCAAGCAGCACTTTCACTGACCTTACCCGACAGCCTCGAGCCCAGGCAGGCAAGAAGAAATTACAGACAGCAACCTGCAATGAACTTGCGGCAGTTTGCCGAAGTTGCCAAAAACACCAAGGTCAGCCCCCTCCTGTCAAACCAAGCTCCGTGCACGCAGGACGAGCGTGACAACGCAGATGCTCCTGCAATGGGTTTCGGAGACTGGAGAGCTTGAATAGCTGGAACTTCTACAGGACGTGCTGGGCCCCCAACAAGCCGAGCCTGTAGCTCCATGACCGAAAAATCTCCGGTCCAGTTGCGAAGCCCACGGTGATTCCAAGGAACGATGCTGCGCCAATGCCTGCGTGCGGTGAGTATCATGTGAAGCAGACATGCCCTTCCACCCGAAGCCTGTGATGTAAAAGTGAGGAGTGAAGTGTGGACCCTCCGGAAACTCCATGAGACTGTCTGTACCTGAGGCAGAGAGGGTACATGTGGCTCGCACCCACAGCTTCGCAAACCTTTGGTTGCAAAACCTTTGCCCTGGAACCTATGTCAATTCGCCAAGTCTCAGAAATAGAACAGCGCTCCGTCGATATTGATACTGAGCAAGCCCAGCAAGAAGAAGAAAATCACTGGTCCTGCAATCTCTCGCCTGTCCGGGGACATGGCTCCCACGCTACCCTTTTGCAATCCACGTGGGCTGCAGACATGGAGGGACCGGTGCCCTGCCGAGCCCTGCCGAGCCCTGCCTGATAAACAGCGCAAAGGACACCAGAACAACCGCCGCCATAGAAGCAGCCAGCGGTGCCAAGCGCTCCTCTTCCAGCAGAAAGGTTGATACCTCTCCGGTTGCCACAGCTGCAATGCTGCAAGGCGTGCGACATGAGAGAGAGAGTCTGACTCATGGTCCCGTAATGCGGCCAAGATGCAACCAAGCCGAGAGCCAAGACACCGATCATCAACGTGAGAATGCACAGGACCCCGTGCTGCCTTTTCTCGAACACGCACAAGGTCCGCCGCACGGGCACATACGAATCAAAGGGAGACGTTGCTTTGCACAGAAACTACCACGTACAAAGATGTTGCATGCAGTCGAAGGACCGGAATATCATGGGTAGGCCACTCTGCGTCTGCTCCCTCTTCTCACCCATGAAGTTGCCAAGTGCTGGCCACAGCACTACGAGAACCTGACGAGCTGCGCTTCACGTCTTCTACTGCACTTCGTCTACATCTCCAGTCCCGGTTAAAGCACTACAGAGCCGCTGCCGGCAGTACAAGTAAGGAGGGGCACAAATACTTCTAATTAAGTACTTCTTCTGATGCTCCTGATTGGGTACCTGGCCGAAACCGAAGAAGTTGAAGTCGAGGAGCCAAGGGTGCGGCAAAGCGATAAGGGGCATGGGCACCCATCACAGCGATCACAGGCCCAAGGAAGCAAACACTCAGGACCTGTCCTGTCACATGATTCAGGCTCTTTCGGCATCTGAATATGGCTTTTCTAAAGCTTCATCCATGAGAAGCAGAAACAAAACTCCTGCGTTGATGCCGAGCCAAGTGTAGGTGTAGAAGTCTGGACCCAGGCTTGCCTCGGTCCGCTTACTTACCGTACCTTTCTGGGACTTTGCCTAAAGGCTCCGGTGGCGCTTTAAGGCGAGAGTGCCATTGAAGCAATTGCACATCGGCCCCAGCTTGCGCCTGTTTCTTGACTTCTTCCGACTGCTTCGCCGCCATGAGCACGTCCACACTTGCTACCTCCAAGCCATGCCAGCCGACGGCTGCATTCTCATGAGAATGCAGAGAGGAAAACGGGGTGCCTGGAGGAAGGCTAGGAACAGCGCCGAAACCACTGCGGCTTCGGACACCGCAAAGCCGAAGCCCAGAGAAGTGAGCGAAGCAAAGGAAACGATCGTGAAAATGACCTCGGCTCCAATGCCAGCTTCATCGCACGGCACCACTTACTGTGCACAATGCACCCGGGCTCACGGCCACGTACGGCAGCTTGTGGTATCCATAAATTGGGAAAGCATCGCTGAGCAAGGCTATGACAGGCTTCAGAGCGAATGGCACGATGGCAACTGCCTGATGGGGCACAGCTGGATTCTCTTTTCGCCATGTCCCCCGCCATGTCCCCCGCCATGTCCCCCGCCATGTCCCCCCCTTTCAGCAGCCTACAGATCTCCTACAAAAAAGCTTCACAAGGATTTTGATTGATGGGGAACCCATGGAACCGGCCCCGTGACTCCCTTGACACATCCGACATGCCTTGAGAGCTTGGAGCCTCCCGGCAGACATCCCCAGGTCGCTGAACAGGAACTCTGCAGGTTTCCCGATCAGTCCTAAGGACACTTCATTTCACCATCCGCGAGGTGACCACAGCAAGTTGACAGCAAGGTCAGCAAGACCCAGAGTCCTTCATCACCACCACCCGCCACGAATCCCTGCCAAGGGCAGGGGGTACTGGGTACGAGATGTCCACACAAGGGCAAGCTCCGCTAGTTCGTGGCCTTGAGCAAGTGGCTGGTGCATGCCACCATGGCCAGGAGCTTCCATGAGTAGCTCTGAGACAAAGTACGGTACCACTGCACTGGACTTCGCAGTAGTGACCTTAGTGATGAGGGCCACGACCCACTGCAGGGCATGTTGTCAACAGCACTTCACGTGTGCAGCCAAGAGGCAACTCTTTTGGCTTCTCGACCAAGGGGCTCGACTCACTTGGCCCATTTTTCCCCGTTTCAGCATCACGCTCTACATTCTTGTGCGGGGTTCCTTGCTGGACAGCAACGCTTGGAATGGCAGGTGGTATGCCGATGTATGCCCCATATAGTGCAGCTTGGATTCTCCCTGGCATCACGTCTCAGACCGGATCCTCGGATTGCCAAGCGAGCATACGTTCGCTGCATAGTATTTATCCTTCCTCACATTGGCAACTGAATTCAGAAAGAATGCTTGAGCACCAAGCCGCTGAGACTGCCAGGGCCACAAACTGGAAGCGCAGCCGCTCCAGCTCAGTGGCTGCAGTTTATGGCATGAGCCAAAGAGTGTGCATTCACATTGCAGACACAGCCAGTAGGCAGAAACATAAACGATCAAAGACTCTCTCCACCAGGTCGTGCACATGCCAGCACGATTTTCGTACTCTGTCGCTGCAGAAGCATGCGAACCGACGCAGCCTCAATTCAAAATCGAATAGAGGCACATCTTCCGAAGCCTCTGCCAGACTGCCTTCGGCAAGTCTTGGCAGGGGGCCCCGAAAGCTTTGCTTGCGCTTACGCCAGGGCAAGTCTCTCAGATCGGCCTCTCAAGCCAGTCCCGTCTGAGCCAAACACCTCAGAGTTTGCAGCTCAGGGTTTTTGTTACATGTCAGCACTTAATTGCAAGCAAGAGAGGAGAGGGAATGCAAAGAATCTCCGGGTGCCTCAAGCAGGCTGCTGAGCCCGACAGCCTCAGAGCCTGCGACGGATGCCGCAACGTGTCAAAGACGGGCTGTCGAACT